TTCTTTGAATGTATTAGGTAATATGCAAACTTAGCCTTTATGGAGTGAATACAATTGTGATTTATTACATTATAAAATCTTGTTAAAATTAAGTTGGTGTAACTTCTGCATAAAATACTTCCGTCTTGAAATCTATAATTGAATCAAAAGATTATGTGACAAGTGGAATGCATTGAGAGAAACCTTTAAGTAAAGAGAATCCTAATTATTTCTTGTTCTGTGATAAAATGCTTCTGAAAGCTAATTTCTCAATATGTCATCTGTAACACGTTGTCATCTGCTGGTGAGAGCCACAGAATAGAAGTTGATTGGAGGTGTTGAGCTAGAAAAAGTAGAAAAAACATTAACATATTGAGTTACCAAACTTATATTAGAAATTGCTTATGGAAAGAAAAAAGTTCACTTTCAGCAAATCAGCATATTTTCACTTTTTTAAGAAGCTGTCTAGTGTTCTACTATGAAATTATTTTTTCTGGCTTTTTTGGCTTGTTTTTACGTGTCTGTCTTGTTGCCCAAGGCATGTCTGTCATGAAAGTTGTTTGGTTTCTAACATAAAGTACATCTCAGATATTTCTTTTTTGATGGTTGCTTTTTAAATTAATTTATCACCTTTGTTCTTTTGCCTTTAGAGCTTATTTTGTCTTACAAGATCTGACTGGTATCAGCTTGCCAATATGACCTTAGCTGAATCCATAATTCTTTTTATCAAGAGCTTTTTAAACAGATATTTCAGCTTCTTTGGTGATGCTTTCCTTCATTATTTTTTTCTAATCTATACTTTATTACCTTGCTTTCATAGATGCAAATTGGAAGGACTTGGTTCATAGCCTATTTTTTTAGCATAGCTTCTAAAATTAACTTGTCTGAACACCGGTGTTCAGACAGTGCTTACAGTACTCTACTGTCCTCCAGAAATGTAATGAGGATAAGCCTTGTACCAAATGAAATCTATTCCTCCATTCATTTTAATTTGATACTCTTGCTGTGGTGTTTTGTGGTCTTTGAATTTGCAAAAATTAATCTGTTGTCAATTCCATCATCAGCGTCTCTGCTATTTGATCTGAGAAATTAAAAACTTTAAGCAGCATTAGTGCGCTAGTGTTAAAAGCTTTGATACCAAGCACTCTCCAAACCTCATTGTGGCCTTCCAGTACTTGAAAGGAGCATACAAAAAGGAGGGGGAATGAGAGTGGATAGTGATAGGACAAGGGGGAATGATTTTAAACTGAAACAGGGAAGGTTTAGGTTAGATACAAGGAGGAAGTTCTTCACACAGAGGGTGGTGATGCACTGGAACAGGTTGCCAAGGAGGTTGTGGATGCCCCATCCCTGGAGGCATTCAAGGCCAGGCTGGATGTGGCTCTGGGCAGCCTGGTCTGTTGTTTGGTGACCCTGCACATAGCAGGGGGTTGAAACTAGATGATCATTGTGGTCCTTTTCAACACAGGTCATTCTATGATCATATTGTGAGGAAATACTACACTAAAGAAAATGAGTTATAGTATATGCATATATGGAGAATGTGAACAATTTATTACGTTCTTTTAATCTTAAGAATATCACAGCTCTTAAAGATAACATCCATGTATCCTCAGATTCTTAATAGATAACTGTGAACGACTGCAGAGGACGAAAGAGGAAGAAGCTATTGTTTGACTAGTTTGGGAGGAGCATGACTTAAAAGAACTTTCATAGGTTGTGAACTGTTAGTAACGTTCAGTTACATTTTATTACTTCCTTTAATGTGAGTTAAGTTCACTCATAGGAATAGCAGCTTGGGACAGAGGTTTGTGAAAACGTGAAGATGAAAGATGTCTAGCAGAGTTTGTCAGAAGTCACTGAATTGCTGTACTTCCTTGAAATGAGAAATATATGCATGGCCATAGCATCGTAAATTCATTTTTAATAGTGTAATATTTGTGAGATGTAATAGCAGTTTAATTTTAATTTGAGTGAGCAGACTGCTGTAATGCTTGAGATAAGGAAACTACATGATCTAGGGAACAATTTTTTTTATTTTTTAGCATAATGCAAATTATCTCATTTTGACCAACTCCTTTCCTGATAATTGACATCTTAGAGCACAGGTGCAAGTTCTCAGTCTCTTAGGGTGACGCATTCTTCTTGCTTAGATGAAGTGAAAATAAAAGAAAATAGGCTTTTTCTTTCTTCTATAGTACGTTAGGTAGTTGCAAGGAAACTTCTTAAATAGATTTGGGATCTGTGACAGTCTTATTCAGATTTTCTTCTGTGAATGTAATGTGGGTTTTAGTAGGAGTAGCAGTTTAAATAAAAAGAAATGCTAACTGAACAATGGCTGCTAGTTAGAAGGAAATGAAGATCATACTGTGTTTGTTTACTGCATTCACCCAGCAGTCTAATTAAATATTTATAACAAAAAGCATTTAAAGGATGCCAGCACTGACCGCATTTTATGCACGTATGAACAACTGAAATGTATTGGAGTTGACATACGGGTTCTTTGGTTACTTAGTTTGCTTATATGAAATAAATCTGTGTAGCCTTAGTGTACAGTTAGATAATGTTTTAACCCCGAGTAAAGACAGGTATGATTGAACTTGATATGGAATAGATGTTTAATTATCGTTGGGTTTTATTTGCAAATCTTCATTTTTTGACTGCTGTGATGCGTAGTTCAGCATTTGAATAAACCTAACTGGTCTGCCTGAAGTAAGAATATCTTTTATTTAGGAAAAGAAAAATCAGAATGAAATAATTTTGCCTGTTTTGAAAACTTTGCTCCAGATTTGATAATGTTTAAGTGTGAAGCTATCTCTAAGCCAGAAATGTACCTTGTGAGATCAGTCACCAGCACAGACTCCCAGGTCTGGTTTCCTTGACTCCAGTCCTTCCATCTTGCTGAGAAGGGGGAGCATGACAGCAGCCTGGGGGCACCCACCACTCTTGACTGTTACTAAGCTGAAGAGGGGGAAGCTGTAGAGAAAAGTGGCTACTTCAAACTGCTGGGGAAATAGTTACCTGTATTTCTGATAGGTAAAATCTGTGAAAGTACCAACCAGCCTTGAGGTTCCCAGCTCCCTTTTTTCAAAAGTGACTTGGACTTCTAAGATCCCCCGGTGCTTTGTAACGCTTCAGCTACAAATTGTGCTTGTTTTATAATTGCATCTTACGAAAAATTTCTGATCTTCAAGACTGCAACGTCTGCTGAACAGTGCAGTCTTTAATTAAGTAGGGCTTTGAATTCTTGGGGAATAAAACAACGCCTTCACTATTTGCTCTGCGCATACCGTTTTCTCTGCCCTCCCAGCTTTAACATTTAGTGCAGCACCATGGAGCTGCAGTGAGAGGCACACTTGAGGAGCATTGTGAGCGCTCTGTCCCTGTCTGCGGGATACAATCACTTCAGTGTCACCAGGGCCTACACAGAGGCAGTTGATGGCGTTTCTTTGGAATTGTAGTAGTGTATGGCATCTACTGAAATCTGTAGGATAAGCAAATGCAGAAATTCCTTTCGGCTGCCAGGCCTCTGAAAATGCCATGTTGTGGCCTTGCTGGTAAATGCCACAAATAGCTGAACAGTCATGTAGGTTCAAAAGGCGAAACTGCATGCCGTTCATGTTCAAATGTTCCACCAACAGGCTGTATTTTAACTGCAGAAAGAAATTCTGATCTTTCCTACCCCTGATTGTGTATTGTAAGCCAAATGATCTAAAGTGTTTTGCTTCTTATCGGCTGCTATCTCCAGTACAGTTTTTCCCCCTAAAACCTGGCGCACAGAAACAGGACGTGGGCCAGTCGCTACCAGCAATAGGAAGACACGGGATGACCTTGTTTACATTCCCACTTTCTAGTATGGAAATAACAGATAAAACTTCAGGACTAACTGCAATTTACTTAAGCTGTAATTCTTCAGAGCTGCAAAAAGCAGATGTTTTATGAGTAAAATAAAGTTATATCTTTCATTACCATTATAAAATATCAGGCTGCAATATTGAAATTAGCATAAAATGAAAATGATTTTCTTTTCCTTTTTTTATTTTTAATGCCAGAGATTTGTTTGTTTTTGAGAATAAACTTCTCTAAGACCTTGTTTTTGAGTGTTTAATGGATTTTTTGGGTAACGAGAGTTAAATGAAGAAGGCTGCCTTTTATCTATGTTCTTCCTCTCAAAATCTCTATACAGTTTTGGCAGACCTCTTGATTATGCTCTGCTTGTTCTTGTATCTTGTTTCTACTAGTTTGATCACCTACTTTTATTGGACTACTCTGTTTTTTTGTTTCTTGAAGATGATGAAGGATTTTGGTTTTCATAGAACCATAGAATGGCTTGGTTTGGAAGGGACCTTAAAGACCATCCAGTTCCAATCCCCCCGTCATTCCAGTCCAGCCTGTCTTTGAACACCTTCAGGAATGGGATCCACAACTTCTCTGGGCAATATATTCCAGTGGCTCACCACCTTCATATTACAGAACTTTTTCATGATATCTGATTTTCCCCTTTTCAATTTAAAAGTGTAACATGTTTTCTTGGAGTTTATATGTGATTCAGAAAAGTCATTGAGATGTAATACAAAAATGCTAGAAATGCAGAAACTAATTAAAATTAACACACTGGAAAGCTTCTTGATATTTAGAAGATATTAACCTAGAAACAGTTGTCTCACATAAAGTCTTTGATTATTTAAAAAATGAAGATCAAGAAAACCTAACTTAAGAACTATTTAGCAACAACTAAACGTGTGAAATAATTAAAATAAGAAATGGTACTGAATTTTCCTTGTACTTGCAAGTCAACTTTGCCAGTGAGTTGGAAAAGGAATGAAAATTTTTACTGTGATATCTATAGTTTTGAAAACTTTATTATGATTTTATCATAAGAAAGCTTACAGCTTTCTAACCCATTTTACAGATAATTTTAAGTTGTCCTGACTAATTGTATCTCCTTATGCAGCCTGTTTTATTGATGTTCATAAAATCAAGCATTTACTAATAGTACTTTTTTTTTATTATTTTTCCAGAAAAGAGCAAAAGGACAAATTCTATTTGACAAAGTGTGTGAGCATCTCAATTTACTGGAAAAGGACTATTTTGGGCTGTTGTTTTATGAGAATTCAGATCAGAAGGTAAGCCTGTATTAGAGTTTTGTTTTTCCCCAACATTGTTACTGACTGCAGTAGTTTAGTAAGGGATACTGTATTAAATATATACCCTTACAAACATTTGAGTAAACCATTTATAAGCTGTCAATTTTAGTGCACAGTAAAATTGTGTCAAGTACAAGATACTGCTGTGTATGTTAACGAAATTTCTATTTTTTACTTTGGGGTGGTAAATATTTGCATTTCCTGGAAAATAAATTAAACAATTCCTGAGTTTTATTTTGTTATAGTAATAAAATATTTTACCGTCCCCGCCGGTAAAGATAGGAAAACTCTTTGCCTTAACAGCCCAACAAACCTGCTAGTTTGTGAAGACATTCATTTGTTAGCCTTTTTAAAAATACAGACACACAAACAAATCTATGGATGATAAAATAATAAAAACAAACTGATCTTCTGTTTACCTTTCCAAGAATTTCACTGCTTCTTCTCATGTGTGCTTAATAATGCTCTGACAAATAATATAAAGGATATCTTGGCCCAAAGTCCAAAAATGTTAGGCCTTACAGTTACTTTTCATAGAATGATAAAAAATATCATCTAGTTCCAACCCTTCTGCTGTGGGTGGTGTTGCCAACCACTGGACCAGGCTCCCCAGGGCCCAGTCCAACCTGGCCTTTGAATTCCTCCAAGGATAGAGCATCCACAGCTTCTCTGGGCGAACTGTTCCAGTGCCTCACCACCCTCTGAGTAAAAATTCCTCATAGTATCTTATCTAAATCTCCCCTCTTTTAGTTTAAACCATTCCCCCTTCTCCTATTGCTATCTGCCCAAGTAAAAAGTCAGTCTCTCTCCTGTTTATAATGTCCCGTTAATTACTGGAAGGCCCTGATGATGTCTCTCTGGAGCCTTCTCTCCAGGCTGAACAAGCCTAGCTCTCTCAATCTTTCTTCATTGGAGAGGTACTCCAGCCCCCTGAGCATCTCTGTGGCCTACCTCTGGACCCACTCCAACAGTTTCAAATCTTTCTTGTGGAAGCTCTATGCCTGAACGCAGTACTCCAGATAGGACCTCATGAGGGCCCAATTAAAACATCAAAAAATTTTCACTTGAAAAGATGAGACTGGAGCTAGTCTGTCTCCAATAACGTGTGCTAGTTTCAGTAATTAAGAGGGTATTTTGACATAAATGTGTTCAAATAGGTTATCTTCAGTTCCTTTTGGTAACATGTTTTCTTTCATCTTTTTACACTTGTTTTTGGTGAGCACATTTAGACTGATGAGTTGAGGAACATCTTAGATCAGCTGTTGGCGTTCATTCCACTAATTACTAAGAGCCAATTTAGCTTTTCCGTGCATCTGAATGTTTGTGGTTAGTAATGGACCAGCTGTTACTCTGTCCACAAACTGAAATATACCTGCAGTCATCTTTTCCATCATAAAGAACAGACTAATAATTGCAAATTGAAATGGAAAAAAATGTAATTCTTTTAATCTTCATTTCTGTTTTCATGGCAGGAAGTATCATTGCATGAGTATTAATTATTTCTAGCGAAGCTGTTTTTGCTTTTTTATTTTTATTACTTTGCATGAATTCTCATTTAATTTTTGTGTTCAAAATGAAATTTAATTTAGTGATCTGAATAAATCTGAGAACTTCAAAAACAGTTGTTTTCTGGACTTGCTTGCTTTGGAGCTTTTCTGTAAAGCATTGAACAAAACACTCAGGTCCTCTGTGTTAATGATTTCCCTGTATAAAATATTTTTATTTGGATATTGTATTTTTTGTTACTGATTTTTAAACCCTTTATAGAAATACGAGTTTTGTCAGTGTAACAACAAAGAGTACCCCATTTGATCCTCTGAGCAATACCATAATGTCATTTATTTTTTGTTTTTATCACTTACAGTCCCTTTATTTGCGTTATTCAGTATTCTTGGAAATATATGAATGTATACACGCAGTGAAATACATGTATCACTGGATCATCCAGTATCACTGGAAGAGATGAAATATTTAAAAGCATACATGGGATCCTTGAATTATATCAGGAAAGAGCCCATTTTGGTAGATCTTAAGAGGTAGAATAGAGAGCCTTCAGCTCTTAAAAACAGAGCAGGAAAGTTTAGATTTGTGCAGGGTACGTCAATTCTTTCTTTCCCAATGCGCTTCTACTTGAACCAACTCCTCGTATTCTTCTCTCATGTAAATGGAGGTACCCAGAGCCATACCTTAAAAAGAGCCAGTCTGTTTTTCTCTATATGAGTGTGTGTGTATGTGTATGTATATATATGTATGTATTTAGTTATTGTTGATATCAGCCTATGTCATGTTACCACATGATGTTTATCATACACTGCGAGTGATGAAAAGTTGTTGTTTGTCCAAACTAACTTCCAGTAAAATACAGAGATTAGGTCTAGATACACATTAGTTTTCAAATAAAGATTGATGAGCAGAGTTGAACTATTGTATTCCTTGAATTACTCACTCTGATGTCTTTAAAATATGAGAAGGAAAAGAGCAGTTTATTTTTGGTAGGCAAATGAAGGTACTTTGCCTAGATTTCCCATTTTGTTTTCTTTTTGTTCTTTGAATGTACAGAATTTGCTTGTCAACAGGGATAGTCTTTCTCTATTGCTGATGATTTTTGAGCTTTTTTTATTTTAATTTGATTTCCAAAGCTATTAGAGCAGCTCCTCTCTTGTGCAATTGGCATATATTTTACAAACATTCATATATGTGCAAGATGATAACTGTTGTATTTCTCTATAGTGATTACAGAATGCTAACTGAGGAAAGAAAGCAAAATCAGTCAATCAGTTCTCTTAGACGCGTCAGTAAAAGCAAAACACTAAAGAGAAATTCTGAAGATCACAAATTGACAGAAAAGCAGAAAAAGTAGAAATTGAAGTAAAAGCAACTGATGTTATCATCAGCAACTGCTTACAGTTGTAACTCTTTTGTACAAAATAACACTTATGGCAAGATATTCAGCAAGATGTGAGCTCCTAAAGATTCTGATTTGAAGTACCTTATTTAGGATTGCAGTTTGTTTCGGTGCCTTTAGGAAACAGACTCCTAGAAGTTGAAGTATCTCTTAAGTCACCTGTTTGGTTTTCTGCTGCATGATAAGTGTGGATGTGGGTCTCTGCTGCAGCTCAAAGTTTTAATTGTGGGTTGAGTAGGAAAAAGCAGAATTTCAAAAAAGAATTTGAAACCCCTAGCTTCAGTATGAAGCATTTACAGTCTCTTGTAGGTTGCACAGTCTGTACTGCATCATGTGCTTCAGTTGTAAAGGTTTTTTATTTTCACTGCTATTGTCACTCAAGTTACCAAACTTAAAGCTATCACGTTTGTACAACACAAATTATTGCAAGTTCTAGTCCTACTTATGGTATAAATACATCCTGATGATATGAAATGCAGCCACTGCAATGTCTTAAGTCAGAATTCCTAGTTGTGTGCTGAGAGATTTGTCATTCTCTCCCCGCAACCCCCATCCAATTGATGTTTCTTTCATGTCTGTAGATTTGAAATAGTACAGCCTCACAGAATGGAATCAGTAAGATAGGCACACTTACTTTTGTTTTTAAAGAATCTTAAGATTTTCACACATCTCATCATCCTTTCATTCTTCTCAAAGAAAAAAAAAAAAATGTATTGATTTATTTAATAGGAGGGGGTGGTGATGCTGATGAGTTCTGTTCACCAATATCTGCCACGGAAAGCTTGGAGACTTGGAATTTTCACTGGTTTTAGCCTTCTCTTTTTCACCTCTCTGTATTAAAATAAAGTTTGAAGTCTTTTTTTCATCTCAGTACCAGCTCTTTCTAGTACATTTTCCTGTTATGAATATTTCCTCTTGAGATTAAAATGCCACAGATCTCCATCCCTGTCAGTACTAAATACTGAATGATGTGTGTTTTTCTCATTCTTGTGTAGTCATCACAGTCACCCATTTAGGAGCCAGCTGTTGAACTAGACAGCAGCTGTGGGGTGTGGAAACTCAATGCCAGGCACTCTTCTGAATTAGAGCTGCTCCCTAATGCAACATCAGGGTACCATTGGAGGAGGAGTTCCATTAACTTTCCTCTATGGGTGTTCTGTGCAGCTGGGAGAGATGTTATGTTTTCAAATCATACTTATTTTGTTAGCTTTAACATGTCTATTAAAGCTATTTAGATAAAATTACTCATTAACAATTTTTTTCATGGCTTTATAAACATTAAATTTATTGGTCTAATGTGTATTTCATTGCATTGCACCCCCCAAAATTTCATGAATGCTCCATTCACGCTGTAAGCGGGCTGCAGAAGTGTTAGAAAGCTTGTGCTCTTATGTTGTGGGCACCAGCTGGAAATGCTGCTTTTCTGAATTTGGACAAAATACTTTTGTACTGTTAGAGAATGTTTTGTTGTTCTTTGACAATTCATTATTTTGTCTTATCTGTAACCTTACCATTCACAAACAAATAGTTTTTTGCCTACTGGAGCAATGTAGTATACGTACACTTTGTCTTTTGTATTGAAAGACAGACCTGCCTATTCTGTGTTAAGGGGTCTATTTCAGGGTAGATTTTTTTCCATAGTGTTTGTTTTATTCAAAACAAAAGGCACAGATGCAAACCAAAACCAAACAAAAACAAAATCCCTGTAATTATACTTGTAAATGGAAAACAAACATCTGATTTTATTTGATGGAACAAAGGAAAGTTGACAAAGTTTGCTTCCAATAAACTTACCCAAGACTTCAAAAATCAAAAAATGAACTGAATAATTTATTTAAAGAAATTATTATTCTTCTAATTTTTCAGCACTTTCTGCTTTGTATTTTCTTCCACTCAGCCATAATGAAAGGTAAAATGTTGACACAATCATGTACTCACGCATCCTAGTTTTCTGCTATAATTATGCCACACTATATAATTTATATTTATTCTGCTTAATTTATACTATACTTTGTGTTAAGCTTAAGAGTTCATGGTACTTTTTAGTTTTATCTATAATTTGATGAAAAAGACCATTTGGGAATGGAATTAACAGCAAAACTGAAAACTTAGTATGATAATTGTAGCTGAAATTAATTTCAGCTAAAATTATTCTAAGACTTCTCATGTATTTCAAGGCTTTTCTTTGTCAAGATTCTTCCAACAGGTGGTATTTTTTTGTGATTTAAGCAGAATAAGTATTGTGCAGATTTTTTTTGAGGAGTGTTTTATATCCTTGTATATATCAGTTATATATCCTGTTATATCAGTGCAGCACCAAAGACTGAAAGTTGAATCATATTGTATCCAAGACTCAGTACTTAGGTAGTTTAGGCAAGCAATGTTGATAGTTGCATCTTTAGAAATGTTAGTGCTGGTGCTGAGGTCCCTTCTGATCTTGAGGCTGCTACTGTCTGCAGTGGGCTACTGAAGTGTAAATGCTCTCTAGAGAAGCAGGCTCCACAACATCTCTAGGCAGCTTATTGTTGATATGAACAACAGACTTGATGTGCATTGCCTAAAATAGAGCCAGGATCTATTTTTGAACAGTGCCATTGTGTCAGTGTTGAAATCCTGCGTGTTCATAGAGAACTTTGCTTTGGGGAAACTCAGAAACTTGAGTCCTTTTTCAAAGCGCTTTTGAATGTTCTCAGAGCTAGAATGTATACTCTTTAAGAAAAGTGATGGGAGTAATAAATCTTTAGATATCAAGAGAAAAATCTTGTCTTAAATAGCTCTATACAGGTGTGTAGGCACAGGCACGTAGGGATTACATAACTTTTCCTGAAAGTCTATTTATGTCAATAAAATGAGAATGAGAGAAAACTGCATTTGTCAAATGTAATTTGATAGACAACCTCTACTGTAAGAATATCCACTTAGCATAAATAGTCTAAAGCAATTAGACAACCATGAAGGGAATGGCATTACACAGTTTCATTTATATGCAAGGGCGGGGGGACTTGCTACCAAATTACAATTTCAATTTTAGGATTCTCTGGGAAATTTTAAAGAGAACAGATGTTGGAACAATACAAACCTTAATTGCATTGTATGAAATTGTATGGAATTACTTCTTCCTCTTGCTGATAAATGATTTTAAATGCTGTTCATTATTTTATTGTTTTTCCAGAACTGGCTAGATTCTTCAAAGGAAATTAAGAGACAAATTCGAAGTAAGTACTTCTGTATTTGGATGTTATGCTCCCATTTTTTTGCTCACTGAAACATCCTTTCTGAACTCAGTAGTGTGGATGTTGCTTAAATTGCTTAGAGTGCTAAAAGAATTTGTCTGATCATGACGGATTCAGCCTTAGAACAGAAACCAAGGCTTCTGTTTCTGTCTGCTATCCAAAGAGTGAAACAGACTTGTGCTGTAGAAGTTAATCATTATACTGGCTGCTGACCCAAATTTTTCTGTTTTACATTTGACTAATCAGTTGATATTTTTGCATCTCAAAACAGTGAGCGTTATTCAGAGGTTGCTGCTATTTGAGTTATGAGATGGAGAATGTCTTCCAAAGTTAGTCATGTTTGTTGCTGTAGGGCTCTTTAACTTCAAAGACTCAACAGAAGATTATGAAACTACAGGAAAATCAATATATTTTACAGAAAGCATGTATTTGTTTTCAAACCTGACCAGTCCAATATTGGCTTTTTTTAAATTTGTTGTCAATTGTGGAACTTCTGAATACTCTCTACGACATGTTTCTGATTGAATACCTGTGAGAAATCTATTTTCCATACTCAAAATAGAATCAGAGGATCATAGAATGTCTTAGGTTGGAAGGGACCTTTACAATCATCTAGTTCCAACCCCTATACAACAAGTGATTTATTTTCCTCTGTTCCCATGAAGTTCAGTCAAGTATTTCAATAGCCATGTAACTATTACAGTAGACAATAAATTCAGGAAATACTCTTCCTGACTTTAAATGTCTCATAATAACCACTAAAAAGGGTTAGAACAGCTCTTAATGAATTTCTTCTCGTTGCATTACATATTTGTGACCAACATGACTTCCTTTTATTTTTTATTATTATTCAGTGGAAGCTTTCTTTTGTTAGAGGCTGGCAGGAAATCTAACTGGGGAGGTAATGCTAATTTTATGAGGTGGTAATGATAATAAAATATGTGCTTACACTTCCAACTCAACAAGTATGTAAGTTACTTAAGAAACTGACTTTGATCTGTTTTGAGGTGTTTGATCCAGTTGGAACACTTGTAATTAAGAAAGGCAGTATGTTAATTAAACCTTTTGATAATCATTGTAAATTGATGAAATCCTTTATTATGTTAAGGAAGGCATGTGTTTTTATTTTCAGTGGAGAAATGAAAGTTGCAGAAGTTTCACTGGAGAACTATTTTAATATTCTGTTAATAAACTTCTGTTTAAATTTACTAATATGGTTATGTAAGTAGAAGCCATCTACAATTATTCTTTCAATGAAAAAAAAGTTATATGTATAGTAACTTCTTATTCTGAAGAAATGTCAGATCTTCAGTAAAAACCTATTATTTGTATGCTGAAGGATATTTTGTTAGATTTTAATATTTGAAAAAAGAAGGAGGACATTGATGCTTTGTGTTATTATCTTCAGTACTCATCTGCTTTCAAAGACCCTACTAACGTCACAATTCGGAAATGTAAGAAGTGGCCTGCAATTGTTTTGGATGCACTACATAACATTTTTTAATACTGTCTAATATGTATTCCAAAACTACTTTAAGGGAATACGATTTTTCATACAGCATGAAGACATGTGCTTTTATATAGGAGATCAAGTCCAGTTTCTCAATTTAGGCATCTCAATTAGATTTTTTTCTCTGGTCTGTAGTACTTCAGAGTTCAGAGGCATGGCCTATAAGGTAAACAACCAAAGTTGCTTATGCTGATTTGCAAGTAATTAACATACTGTTGTATTCTTTGTAATCAAGGTATTAAAATTTCCAGATACCTGAATGTCCTGCAAAAGCAAATTTTTCTTCCCAGCTAGGTGGATATAACGAAAGGAAAGCTTTTTCTGTTTTTTTTCTCAGATTTAGTTATAATTAGGAATAGGTATCTCGCATATGAAAAATATTCAATTATAATATATTTAAATTACACAAATTACTAGCTGTCTTCTCACAGTTATGAAGGTGACAGAAAAACTTGTCTGTCTTCATTCAACCTGAGCTCTTCAGAACTTTTTTTAAAACTCCTATAATTGTGATAAAAAACTCAAATTAATCCAGTTAGTTCAGGTGGGATAATTACATTTCTGTCACTGTCTTGAAAAGTGGTACATCCAAAGTGGATTCAGGCTTTTGCAAAACTGAGACTTCAGCTCTTGGATATAGTAAAGGGACAAACAGTAGCTGCTTTTGGAAAAAATAAATCATGAATTTTACAGAGAGTATGATGTTTACAGTTGCATAAAATTTAATGTGAGAATTTGTGCGCAAGACACTGTATGTGCAGTGCGTATATAACATTCAATTCAGTTTTGTTTGAGTTTTTCTTGACTCAGTCTAACAATTGAATGAGTAAGCTACATAAATCTGGTTTCATCATGGTATTGTGACTGAAGATCAATTGTTTGTCAGCAGTAGAGTTTAGATGTGAATGTATAAATCATATGTTCTAGGAAACTTATTTGCTCATTTGTGTAGTTGAAGTATGTGAAAGTGAATTATAGACCTGCTTATCCCTCCCTCCATACAAATTTTGAAAATGTCACTGGTATGTGTCCTGCTTTTGCTGTGGCTATAATTCATGATTTTCGAAATGAAAGTTAAAATTGTATGTAGTGTTGAATAGTTGTTTAAGTTCAAGGTACTGTTATATCAATTAGTTCTTTTAAATTTGCTGCACTATTAGTATTTTTTTAATGTGAAAATTTTAAGTTCTATTATGAAATATAAAAAATTCATATTGCATATCATGTGTTGTATGTCTAATAAGGATAGAGAGCATTTGGAAATGCTGAGGGCAGAAGAGTCTGGTGTCTGTTTTTTTGTGCAATCTCACCTGGTATATGATATATTTTAACTATATTTGCTATTGAAATTAAACATTAGTATTTTTGTTATGAGAATACTTTTTTAACGGTAAAGATTCTAGAAACTCATGGCAGTACCCATAGTATAATTAATCTGTTCTAATTGTGCTTAACCGCATCCACCTAAGTAAATAGTAGTTGTTTTCTGAAGAAGTGGATGCTTCTTCAGAAGGAGGTGAGCAATTGCATTCTGAAATAGGTGTCTGAGAGGTAAACCTTTGTTGGCTATAAAGGGAGACAGTAGTGTCTTACATAGATTAAATTTCAAGATTGAATGAAATCATGTCCACTAGCATCAAAAGAGATAGCAGTTACTGTGACAGAAAAGATGTTTCCTTTTTCTAAAAAGGAATGATTGGCTGATGGAGGGAAGAAAGTAGTCTTAATTTACTTGTTCACTGTTTCAATTTAATTATTGAGAGGAGTGAGGAAAACTAACTCTCTGGAAGTGGATTAGAGCAGATACAGTAATACGCCAGTTAAGGCAGTTGGTGGCAAATCGTGGGCTATACATTTAAATCTTTCTTTTTATTCATGCTGAAGACTGTTCACAGCATCTTTATCGTTAATGGGCATCCACTCATTCAGACCGGGGAACTTAAAAATAGCCAGATGCAACGCTGACCTTGAGAAATGTGTAATCAGTAATTAAGGTATACTGTGGAGTAGGGAGACTTTTGGCATTCTTGGTTCTATGGTATATTCTGCAGATAAGACTAAACATCTCAACTTCTAAGGATCAAAGATAAGAACGAATAATGATATGATTAAATATGTGTATGACCAAATAGTGATAAATTAATAAATAGAATTCTGACAGAATTGTGTAGCACAAATTTAGAATTTTGCAGCACCATGTATTACAATATTTAAAGATTTTCCAATCTGTACATTAAGTGCTACAGGAAATTAGAATTTATTAAGGAAAAGACTAGGATTTTAGTATACAGCTCCAGCTGCTGGATTTTATTGCTAACAAAACTCAGATAAAATATATATGCCTGAAATGACTCTGTATGTGTATATATATAAAAACATGGTCGCTTCTATGTGTAAGGTCACTTTATTTTATATCCAACTCTTTTATGTAAATAAGTATATACATGTGAAATTTGTAGCTAATACAGATGTATCAGAATTTAGCAATGAAGAGAAAGAAACACCTCTGCTAAATGAAGAATTGTCCTGTGGAAGTGTTCCTTTACTCCTGTTAGTTATAAAAATGATTTTGTAGTTTACAGTTGAGTTTGAGCTGGATCTTGGTCCAAAAAGGACAGGTTGCACTCATTTTTCTTTGTACAGCTTTAACAATGTGGACTGGTTACAGATCTTCCCTATTGCTTTTCTTAATTTCATGGAGCATTTTTTATCTGTCTGTGAGCACTGCACCTGTCCTAATTACACAGTATACTAAAAATTGTTATCTGAGGCACAGAAGGGAGTGGGAAGGCCCTTCAGAGACATCTGGACAGGCTGGATCGCTGGGCTGAGGACAGTGGGATGAAGTTCAAGACAACCAATCTGTGTCCTGCACTTTGGCTACAACTGCAAGCACCACTGCAGTCCTGGGGCACAGTAGCTGGAAGACTGCATGGAAGAAATGAACCTGGGGGTGTTGGTTGGTGCTTGGCTAAACATGAGCCAGCAGTGTGACCAGGTGGCCAAGAAGGCCAATGGCATCCTGGCTTGTATCAGAAGTAGTGTTGCCTGTAGGAGCAGGGAGGCGATTGTTCCCTGTACTCTCAGCTCTGGTGAGGCTGCATCTTGAGTGCTGTGCTTAGTTTTGGACTCCTCACAACAAAAGACATTGAGACCCTGGAGCATGTCCAGGGAGGGTTAACAAAGCTGGTGAGGGGTCTGGAGCAGATGTCTTATGGGGAGCAGCTGAGGGAACTGGGATTGTTTAGTCTGGAGATGAGGAGGCTTAGGGGAGACCTTATTGCTCTCTACAGTGACTTGAAAGGAGGTTGTGACATGGTGGGTGTCAGCCTCTTCTCCCACCTAAGTAGCAATAGGACTAGCTCTGCCAGGGTGGTTCAGGATAAATGCTAGGAAAAATTTATCAGAAATGCTGGTAAGTGTTGGAACAGACTGCCTTGGGAGGTGGTGGAGTCACCATCCCTGGAGGTGTTCAAGAACCACGTACATGTGGCACTGAGGGACGTGGGTTAGCGGACATGGTGATGAATTGGTGGTTGAACTAGATAATCATAGAGGTTTTTTCCAACCTTTATGGTTCTATGAGTAAAAGCTATAAAATGTGTTTTACTGGAATAAAAACTCACTGATTTAGAAGTTTGAATCATGTTAATTGTATGTTGCTAGCTGCTTAGTTACATTGCACTCTTTTTCTCTAAGAATGTGCCTAAAGTTGCCACAGAAGCATTTTTGAGGTATCAAGCTGTCTAGAAATTTTTTTGACATTTCTATAGTTTATAATATTAAGACAGAGTTTTGTCAGAGACAAATTGCTTAATATCATTTTAAATAGCCAATATAAAAATAAAGGGTATCAATTCATAGTGTTACTAATAGCATGCATTGTTGTGTGAAGACAATCATGTTTGTGTGCCTCTGTGATGTGATGATGTGCTTATAAACAGTATGCTGTATTGAGAACTAGAAATATAGGTTGCTTGTGTTGTAGTATACTTGCTGGTCTATATTTTGAGGATAAATCAGTATTCAGATAAAGTATAAGGTTATCAACTGTCCAGAAATTTTTTCGTGGAAAGTCAACTACATTTTTTTCCTATGAACTAGTTATGGGAATTAGCATGAGCAGACGTGGAATTTTTCACGTAGTCTGTAGATTGAGAGGATTTGTGCTCTTTTTAGCTTTCAGAAGCTTTTTTTTTTCCCTTTCTCCTCTCCTCCCCCCTCAGCAATATCTGGGTTCCTAGTTACAGAGCTTTCTGAAAGATAAAGGTAAAAGTACTGACAATAAAGAGGAATTAACCTGTGACTAGTTTGACTGTAATCTTAGACCAGAAAAAATTTCTTCACGCCAAGAAACGTTGCTTCATTCCAGGAAAGCATTGTCTGGTTAGCACCTGTGTGGAAGTGCAACTTCTCCCCCATAGCCTCCATTATCATTCCAATTCCTAACTACTCTTAGCATAGATATTTTTGCCCCAACTGTTTCTTGTCATCAATTTGATTTACTTAATATTAGCATTAAATAATGCTAAATTCTGAGAGATTAGTCTGCTTCCATCATATCATTTATTTCAGGTTTTATTCTATTTGTTCATCTTGCAAGTTATTGTTAGAAAATTTCTTACAGTATTTTTGTGTCAATTCTGTCTTGTGCTAGATTTCAGTAATTGATGCAATGAGGGATATTTTACCCAATTCAGTATTATGTGTCCATCAACAAGTTAGGCTTTCTCATTTAAGGAGATGTCCCTCACTTTGTAAGCAAAGCTATCATTGTCCTAACAAATAATTGCATTAAGATGCATTGGATTGCCGAGCTCTCTAAAGGAAATAGTGAGTTAGCAGCCAGCTGAAATACAAGGTTCTAGTTAAACAGAATTATGCAGAAAATAAAGTGCTCCAGTGAGTTCTCACGTCAGAAAATCTGAAGTAGTTTTTGAAATGCTGAAATTTTGACACAAGTACCTTTTTTCTTTAACAGCTTTGAAATTTAAAGCAGCGGGTTTTTGATATCTGGGAAAACAACCTTAAAAAAATGCCAACGTCCATAGTATTATGTTGGAAATGGCATTTTGATAATTTCTTTTGCCATAATAGACATCTTTTAATGTGTGATTTATGTTTATATTGCAGCTTTTAAAAATTTGACTAGAGGTTCAGAATTCATGTTGACCAGCTTTATAAAATCCTTGCATTTTTTCTTTTTTAAAGTTATTTTTTATATCTTTCACCAAAAATATTGTTTTAATATTACAAAATATTACAAAAAAATGGAATGAGAGAAAATGAATGAGAGACAAATACTCTAGTTAGATTTATTTATATTATTCCTATTTTTATCTTTCATCATTGTTTTTGGCAAATTACACTGTAGTTTTACTCTGGCAAGATATGATAAAGCTTAGCTGCTTTGAAACAGCATGCAAAAACAAACTATTAAATGCTTTTTCTGGCTTTTTATTTTAGTACTTTCTTTTATGTATACATGACTGTGCTATGCCAAATAAAATTTGTTTGAATTCGGAAAGTTCTATATTTGGTTAAGTCATTAGTACTTCTCAATGAGCATATTCTTCTTGCACGTGGATTTACAAAAGTGTGACATTCTGATAATGGATTTTCATTATTTGAGTGCCTCACATTTTTAAGGTTTAAAAGCTGTTTTGAAACTAGAGTTACAATTAAAGGCAGCATTTCATGCTTTGTCAAAATATTAGCCTAGTTTTAAGTGTGCTTTGGCGTATAAGGTGAACGTGGTGTTAACAATTTTGACACCATGTTAATTAAAAATTTAAGCACAATTGTTGTTGTAGTTATTAAAGGTATTCTTGTTTGAGAAAACTTAAATGATGTAAAGGGAGAAATGGCTAATGTTTTGTCTTCCATGCATTCAATAACAGTTTACTTTTTCTTTCTGTTGTATGCAACACAGACCTTATTTTGACATCTCACATACATATCAATTGTACAGTCCATCAAAGTACAATCAATTTAAACAGGGTAGGTAATAAATGCAGACTTAATGCAAACAGTTGTATGTATTTGAACAGAATACCTCAAAAGTGGTAAGGTAGTCTGGTTGTTTTCAAATTAAGTATTTGTGCTGTTTACATAACTTCTTGTAAAACATTATTTAAAAAAGAAGTTTCAAGATATCAATATTTCACTGTATGAGTTAACTGATAATGAAAACAATCTGTGGTTCTTAATAATATAAAAAAGGAGGAAAGTACTTTCAAGTATTTTCTTCAAGCTTTCATTAATCTAAGGTTTACGTGACTGCCTAAAGTTTTTTTCAGTAAGGCTCTTTCTTTGCTTGCTTCATCTGTATTTGAGCTTAACAGTTGTTTCCTGTGTCTAGGTTTACCTTGGCTGTTCACTTTTAATGTGAAATTTTATCCTCCTGACCCTTCTCAATTGACTGAAGACATCACTAGGTATGCATATTCATAATTTGAAATTAAAAAAAATAATGTTATTTGATCAAATTAGACTTCTTTGGTTTCTGGATGCCATAGCAGGTTTGACTTTTACTATACAGTGCTAAAGTTGTTCATATGTCAACTACTCTTAGGAATGTTGACACAAAAAAGTTATTTGGCATGGGAGTATTGTGAGATAGCAGAAATTTCTAAAGAAGTATTTCTTAATAAGAATGAGAGGCCAATGTTTATTCAGGAAAAAAAGAATATAATGATAAGCAGGGATGTGATCTGGGAGGAAGACAGGAGGGGAAGGTAAATGAAAATGATCATGTCTGAAGGAAATCTGTGGCTTATTTTTGAGCTACTGCTTTATTATAGAATAAGTGAGAATATGGTTGTGTTGTACCTTACACTTTCAAGAATATAGCCTTAAAACATGGAAATAATTATCTTCTTAGTTCTTACATAGTGTCCACTATCTTCTCAGTGCTTTCTAGGCACCTAAATTTTATGGAATTGTAAGACAAACAACCAGTGGATAGAGTTCGTTCTATTTACTCATTTTTTTCATAGTTAGGGAAAACATAAGCACTTCCTTTTAGCTTGGAATTAGTTAATTCTGTTGAGATGAGATATGTTATTACCTATCATCTTGCACCTGATCAGTCTTCTGCACAAAATAAGATAGCTTTACAAATCTGTAGTTGATACATTACTACAAGTAACTTAAGACCTTTAGTATGCAGTATATCTTAACTTGTGTTTACTTTGAAACTTTTCAATAAGTCAGTTGGCCTTTGAATTGCATAGTCAATTGAGAAAAGAATTTTAATGATAGCTTAAAGCTGAATTCCTTAAAATTTGGGATTCACTTGTAAAATTTATTTTTAATTAAATATCTGTGCTAGGGCACAGTGTCTGCTGATTGTTAACTTGCTATATCTAGTAAAAGATCATCTGTGGTCCTTGAAGTTAAATTCTAGTCTATATGTGGTTTAAGGGAGACAATTATGAGTTCAGTATTAAAACAGATTTGTACTGTGTACTATATGGTTTGATTAGGTAGTGTGAACTATAAGGTATATAAAAGTTGCAATTTTTAAGCCAAAGGGATATTCGGTAGGAAATGAACAGGAAATCCATAGGTTTTATTTGTAAACCATAGACAGTTATGAGTCAAGAATGTGAAATGAGGGCATTCTTAAGTCTACTTTTGTTGCTAAATATATTTTTTTCATTCATTTATACATTGGAAATCAGAATTTTTCCTGCTTTTCAGGTTATTTATGAAAGTGATGCTGACTCTTAAAAATTGAAGACATTGCCTCATAGTAAACTGACGCTCAAATAAAACAAGGTGTAACAAATTACTAATGTACTCACTTGCTTTAAAGTGTGCTTCTATGATGCCATGTATCTGGATAAATTCTGCAATATGAACTTGAATTGGTAAATTGGTAACTTTGTCCGTTTTTTTTTCTCCTTTCCTTTGTCTTGCAGATATTTCTTGTGCCTACAGCTTCGCCAAGATATTGCCTCTGGTCGCCTGCCATGTTCTTTTGTGACTCACACCCTCCTGGGTTCATATACCCTGCAGGCTGAAATGGGTGATCATGACCCAGAGGAGCATCGTAGTGACTACATCAGTGAATTTCAATTTGCACCCAATCAAACTCAAGAAATGGAGGAGAAAGTAGCTGAATTACACAAAACACACAGGTCTATCAGATATAGTGGGACAAAATGAAATTCTTTGTTGTGCTTGGGTCATTTCTCTTAAGAGTTTGTGTAAAACTATTAAAACTGAAGTTTATTGTTGCTCTGGTAGTCTTTTGCTGTATAACTGGAGTTTCTTAATTTCAAGCATTTAAAAATCTTAACTTCATTAAGATATCAGAAAAGAATAGCTTGGAAAAACACTTTTGTCGAAGCCTATGAATTAGTTTGTTAGGAAACATTAACCTAAAAATGTTGAAACAGTGAATAAAAAAAAAAAGTATTAAAAGAATATCACATACTCTGAAAGAACAGTTTCCTATTAGGGCAAATGTGCTATTGATACCTTTATAAACTCCTGTTTTTCTATTCCAGTTAGTTTTGATTGTCAGTACTTTTGTCTGTGAACTTAAGGTTTGTTCAATGGTTTTAGGGGCCTGACTCCAGCACAGGCAGATTCCCAGTTCCTAGAAAATGCGAAGAGGCTCTCAATGTATGGAGTGGATTTGCATCATGCCAAGGTATTGGGGTTTGGTTTGGTTTGAAGACAGTGCTTGATATTAAAGGGTGTAGCATATACAAATTACTTCGTTTAAAATTTCTCAGAACTTCAGTAGTTACATATATGCCCTTTATCTCTTGATCATGGTAATTACTTAGCTCTAAAATTGTTAGAATTCATTCTAAATCTAGCTTTATTTAATGCACAGATATGCATGCATCCTAAGAATATTGAGTGACTAAGTAAATTTTAAAAGTCTGAGTTTTAATGCCAAAGAGACTTGGACTATAAAGTAAAGCCTAAAAGAATATGCAATTATTTATGTGATACTTTAAGTCTTAGAGGGTATGGGAAGGGAAAGGTCTTGAGGGAGGGTGCTTTTTGGTGTTTTCTTTCCAATCCTCTGGATGGCTCAAATGAAATTAGCATTTCTCATGGGATTTTTTAATGTAAAAAAAACCCACAAAAACAAAACAAGCCAGTTAACTAACTGCCCCCCTCCAACCCCAAACCCATCCCTTCCCCCAAATACAGAGCCTCAACTTATTAGGAAAATGAGTGCATTATATCAACTCTATATATAAAAAAGAAAAACAAAACTTGAAAATACTGGAGAAAAATTCTATGCGTACAGAAATATTGCACACATTTGTGATTTTCCTGTAGACTTTGTGTTCTCTTAGAAATGCATGAAAGAAGTACACTTATGTTTTTATTCATGTATGTTAAATATGTCTCTGGTACTTTTTTTCTAGTACAAGTGCTGCATGACAATTCACCTAGTTGGAAGCACTTTATAAAACTCAGTATATATAAGTTCCTTAGAGCTTTCCTTTGCTGTAGTGAAGTAGCTGCAAGCTTTAGAAGCGTTGTTTGCCAGGGTCCTCTTGGAGCTGTTAATTGTTATGCTGGTAGAGCAGCTTTTTAATGATAGTGTTGGCTTTTGTAGTAGTTCATTTGTTGCTTGTGAGGATGCAAGATTCTGCTGTATTAGTATGCAGTGGTATGGCATATCCAAGTCTTATCAGTAAGTGCTTGGTTCTGTAGCGTCCCAAACAGACATCAAATGCCTGTAAGTGGTACAGAATGCTAAGATACGTTGCCTGACAGTGCTTTGATTGAAATAATTATGTTGATGTTTTCATTTACTTATCCATTACTTCCTGTATATTGACTGGAACAGAAGGTGAATATAAGTTATCACCATCATCACCAACTTACTCTTACTTTCATTCACAAGTTGGAAAGGTCTGTTCTTAATTTCTTTTCTTTTTATATTAAAAACTATTGATTGCACTCCTACCACACTTCTCCTAGTTGCATGTTGTTGGCTTAGTACTTATCACCAGAATATATAAGAGTTACCCAGAACTGTGGCATGTGCAGATAAAGCAGTTGTAAAGTCACTACTGAAGTTCAAAATGTTTCCTCTAAAATTGTTTTACTCAGCCATTTTTTCCTTAAGTATCTCATTATCACCGTCTTTCAGGTTTGGATATGAAACAAAATTCTTCCTTCGAGGTTTTACCAGGGATAATTATTCTTTTTGGAATACTATTAACCTGATTTTTATGAAACTGTCTCATACATGTTAGGATTCTGAAGGCGTGGATATCATGCTGGGTGTATGTGCTAATGGACTGCTCATTTACAAAGACAGACTGCGAATCAACCGCTTTGCTTGGCCAAAAATTCTGAAGATTTCCTACAAGAGAAGTAATTTCTACATAAAAGTCAGGCCAGCGGAAGTAAGTAATGGCTTTCTATTTTGCTTTTTTTTTTTTGTCCAATCATTTGTATCTAGCAACAAAATAACATCATTTTACTAAGTGCCATTTTACCAGGCACTCTAGCAGGTTTATGCTGGAATTGAAATTAATTGGATTTTTCTCTTCAAATTCTACAGCTTATATTAAACACTTTTTTGGTTAATGAATGTTATCCAAGCAGAAGATCTTTTTTCTTACTAGATGCAGTAGTTTTACAAATAAATTTAGTACTCTGCCCTTGTTTTCCTGTTCATAGAAACTTGCAGCCTTAAGGGAGAAGCTGGACTCACTTCCTCTTTGGGTATAATTGTTCATTAAATGTCAATGCTTCTAGTTTTTTGAGTGTAGCCAAAGGCCTGAATTGTCCTGTAGGATGCTCGTTTTGTTAGCAGCCATGGAAATACTGAATTCAACTTTCTTTTCAGATACCATTGTAAGTTAATGAAAGTTGATAAAGGAGAGAGGCTTACATTTTGAACACATTTTAACAGGAAATTCTTGGTAGAAACATGTTGAACTTTATGAATTTTACTCTGAAATGCTTAGGGTATCTCTTATTGTGTGAATAAATAAGACAAAAGATGTTAGTGAAATTGCAGAGCTAAATAGAAAAAAGGCTTAAATTTATTCCTGAATTATTCTAGGCAAGGTATGTACTATCTGATAAATCAAAATATGAATTTGTAAAAAATTTTCAGTGGCGTGCCAACTATTTTTCCACAGATTCATGTAAAAGCAATATTGCTATTGTCTGCTGATATGAAATCAATTGTGTTTATAAACAGTGAGGCAAGTTTTAAATATATATTTTTCAAGATGGCTTGTTTAAATTTCCATAAATTATTAGCACATGCAGTTTTATAAAGTAACTCATCATTTCTCAGAACAGTTGTGTGTTTGTGGTCACTTGAACTTCAGAGTAATTTCTAGACCCTGTTCTGTTGATGTATTGAAGTGCAGAACAGTATCAATTTGAAGTCACTAAAGTATTTTAGTGTAAATAGACTTTAAATGAGGTGACTGGAGCTATAACAGTACTGATGGTTCTTGCATTTCACAAGGGGAAGTAATTTTGTTTGAAGTCTAAATGCCAGCAATCCAATACAAACATTGTAGTTTTGTAAATTCTGGAATACAGATGTATAAACACAGATGTAATATTTTTTCTATAATCTGATATATAATGAAACAGATCAGTCAGAGTGACACTAGAGTATGGATTTCAGATTGGTATTAAATCCAATTGAAAGCATACATCACAACCTGCAGTACAATTACTTCCTGCAGTTTAAAAGTACATTGGGCAGCTTGTCAGAAAACTAGCAAGAAAAACTAAAGTATTATTAGATTTCTCAAAAGAGTCATTAGTACAGATAGGAAGTGATAAAGTGATCATCACCAATCGTGACTAACCCACCCAGTATAATTATATGAAAAGATTAGAAACTCTGGTGTTTTGTGTTCTTTTCTTTTGAAGTCTTATGAGAGGAGAATTATTGCTTGTTACAGCAATGGGACTATGTGAATGGCCTTCTAATTAATAAACAGCTTAAGGAAATTGTTTGATTTACTTGGGAATTCTTTCCAGCTGGAACAGTTTGAGAGCACTATTGGATTCAAACTGCCAAACCATCGGGCCGCTAAGAGGTTATGGAAGGTTTGTGTGGAGCACCATACTTTCTTCAGGTAAATAATAATTCCCTGTTTCTTCCAATTTGCCAGCCAAACTCGTATATTTCTTTGAAAGAATATGAGAAAAGTAGGGAAGATTTCTCCCCTCTTTTACCTTACTTTCTCCATCAATTGACACTCTTTAGGCAAAAGAAACTGAAACTGTGGTCATTGACCACAAATTACCAGTTTCAAAGATCTCAGGTACAATTGACTATCATTTAACTTCCAGCATGCTAACTGTATGGAACTAAACTAGTAATCATACATTGTACTAGCTGAAAGATTGACTTTTCAGAATGAGAGTCTAGAAAGCTGATACATGTCTTCAAAAGAAGCTCTGAGTGTTTGACAGTAAACTTCTGAATCTGAATTCTTGCTTGTTTATAAAATGGGCTGAGTTCACAAGTCACTCTTTAAAGTAAGAAGAATTACTTCAACAAAAAGAGTGCTATTTGTTTACATAATAAACTCTTTCTCTCTGTTTTTTTCCAGTAACTAGTAAATATAAAATTCTGAATTGATCATTGAAACTGTCGACTATTTGTAAATGACCACTTTAACAATAGAGTTGTTTCTCTTTCTGTTTTCACCATTGAAAAGTAATTTGATTTTATAATAGTGCAACCTCCATGAGGAAGTGCAGCTACTCTTGCAACCCAGGAGTCTCAGAATTGTGGAATCATAGAATCATAAATGACTTGTGTTGAAGAGAGCTCAAGGATCATGAAGTTCCAACCCCCCTGCCACAGGCAGGGCTGCTGACCTTCCCATTTAATACTAGACCGGGTTGCTCAGGGCCCCTTTCAACCTGGCCTTGAACACCTCCAGGGATGGGGCATCCATGACCTCTCTGGGCAGCTTGTTCCAGCACCTCACCACTCTCTCTGTAAAGAACTTCCCCAATATCCAACCTAAATCGTCCCTCCCTCAACTTAAAACCATTTCCCCTTGTCCTGCCATTATCTTCCCTTATAAAGAGTGGACTCCCCTCCTGTTTGTAGTCTCCCTTTAGGTATTTGGAAGGCTGCAATGAGGTCACCCCACAGCCTTCTTTTCTCCGGACTGAACAAGCCCATCTCCCTCAGCCTGTCTTAATAGGAGAGGTGCTCCAGCCCTCTGAACGTTTAGTGGCCCTCCTCTGCGTCCACTCTAACAGTTCCCTGTTTTTCTTGCCTTGGGGCCCCCAGACCTGGACACAGTACTCCAGATGGGGCCTCACGAGGGCAGAGTAGAGAGGGACAATCAACTCCCTGTCCCTGCTGGCCACTCTTCTTCTGATGGAGCCCAGGATACCATTTGCTTTCTGAGCTGCAAGAGCACATTGCTGGCTCATGTTCAGTTTTTCATCCACCAGGGCCCTCAGGTCCTTCTCTGCAGGGCTACTCTCAAGGATTGCTCCTCTTAGTCTATACATAGGATTAGGTTGAATCTCTTTTGCATTAAATAGACATTGTATCTTGAATCACAGCTTCTCACTGTAGCATGGGTAAGCTTTTTCTTTCAATAGCCTGTCTCTTACTTTAAAAAAAAAAAAAAAAAAAAAAGTATTTTAATATGCTTTCAATCCTGTCACTGCATGCTAGGTATTAACTAAACACACCTGCTAGACAGAGAACCTGAAGAACATGACACCTAAGCAATTCATTAGTAGAACTGTCTCACTGGGCAGTTTTCAGTATTTAGATTTTCACTGAATCTGGAACATACTTGAATGTAACATTTGTGTATGTGTTGAGAATGACAATTGAAGTCCTTACTTTAGAAACAATTATTTCAAAACACTTGTTTTTTTCATGCTTGATAGAATTCATTCGGTAAGTTTATTAAGAATAATAGCCCACTATTGTTTACTCCAAAAATCTGAAGTCTCCTTTGGTTTGTTTTGTCTGTTACTCCTAATGGTATGCAGATCTTGTCTGGAATAGCAAGAACAAAAGTGCTCTTCAAGTAATTCATGTAGTGTTTTGCTTTGGCAAGAAAAGTGTATTTCCTATTTTTACAGTAATAAAACAGATGTAAATGGAGAAGAAAAAAATCTTATGGAAGTTAAAAGTCCTGAACTGAGAACTACCATTTGCAAACAGAAAAATTATCAGGAGCATTAATATGTATTAGATAATCTTACTACAGAAATTCTGACATAATAAAATCAATTGGATTTCATTCCAATCAGAAATGAATTTTTCTAATCAGGAATGACATGATGACAAGAATTATGTAACAAATACTTTAACCATTCTGTAAAATCCATATTCTCCACTGATGTCATCAGACTGAAAATCCTCAGAGCCTCTCATCCTAATTTAAAAACAGTAAAATAAATCCAGCTCTGTTTGTCTCTGAAGATAAACAACAGAAGCAATCACTGCAGTGCAAGACACTATAGCTTTTTCGTAGCATGTATATTGCTTGTGTATACCTCAGTAAATTGTATTAAATCTAGATGTACATTTTTAGCTTTCAAATCTCTCAGCATGCCCTATGTGACATTGAAAATTCCTTACAGTACTTGACCTCATGATGTTTCAGTTTTTCTCAAATAGAAATTACATTAAAATCTATTTTCTTATAAAATATTAGAAATTAGTTTAGCATATGAATTTGTTTATATACATTTATCATGAACTATGTTGAAAATTACAAATAAAAGCCACTGGATTTGCTTGTGTCAACTCAGCCTTATAGGATTTCAGTAACATTTTCAAAGGTCAAAGCCTGCTTTAAGAAAAATAGTTAGACTGTATACCTACATTAATCTTCTGAGGTAAGCTTGGTCTGCAACTCTGGCTCCTAAGTAAAATGAGTTTATAATTCTGCTTTATGAAGTTTTATTTGAAGTTGTCAAGATTGTTTTAATGTTTTCCTAGTGTGTCTTAAAATGTTGCAAACATACTGTTCAGTTATCTTATGTAATTAAACTTGTAATACAAAAAATACATTTAAATGTCCTTAAATGGGAAGTAATTAGTTCTCTTGTTTTTTCCACATTAAAAGATTAAAAGTTTATCTCAGTAGGGTGGAATATAAAAAATGGCAGTTAATGCTGTAGGCTTGCCAAGACTAGGAAATCCAGAACAGAAAGGAACTTGGAAATACACTCTAGTCTGCTTCCTCTTAATGCATAATGTACTCTTGAAAATAACGTGGAGAAATAAATCTGTCACAAATATTGCTTCAGGATGTTTTTATAGAAGCAGTGAAGTTCCAGACACATGGCCTTAGTGCAGAAGAGTGGATTAGTATGAGAATTGCTTTCTTTAAAAATATATTGTGATGCATTAGGATTCACGTGCATGTTATGCATATTAGGCATGCAGGATTGGATCTTTCTGGCTAGCATTCTGATGAAGCCCTAAACTTCTCTTAGAGAAAACGTTAGCATTCCTCCGCTCTCACCACTGATTTTGCAAAGTATCTGAAAACTATTCAGTTTCATTGAAATATCTTCAGAATAATTTTATGTTTTCAGAACCCAATATTGGAAACTGTCTTAAAAATACTGGATCTGATTCCACTTACATAGATATTCCCTGTGCAAGTGCTTCAAAAGTGTAGAACAAAATCAGCATCCATTGTCTTACTTGTTCATTTGTGCCATTGTAAGTGCAATAGAATAAGTAATTGTTGGCTCTTCTCAAAAAAAGATGATGTTCAGAGGAAGAATAGGGCGTGGAGACTCCCATGCAGTGTGTGTGTATTTGCAGTACCACATTGTTTCAGGAGGCAACATCAAAAACTTTTCTAGAGAAGCAGAAACTAGGAAGAATTCTTACAGTAGTGACTGTTGATTCTAACACCAAGGATGTTACTGTAAGAAACAGTACCCTCTGTGCTGAAGCTGATGACTCTGATTATGAAAACAGAAAGTATGAGCAGTGAGAAGATACAAGTGGGAAAGGGGAAACAACCCCCATTTTCAAGAAGGGGAAAAAAAGAAGATCCTGGGAATTACAGGCCAGACAATCTCACCTCTGTGCCTGGCAAGATCATGGAGCAGATCATCCTGAAGACCCTACCAAGGCACATGGAAGATAAAGATGATGTGATTGGTGGTTAACCAACAGGCTTCACCAAGGGCAGATTGTGCCTGACAAACTTGGTGGCCTTATATCATGGAGTTACAGCATCAGTGATTAAAGGAAGAGCAACTGACATCATCTACCTGGACTTGTGCAAAGTGTTTGATGTTGCCCCGCACTACATCTTGCTTGCCAACGTGGAGAAACATGGATTTGATGGATAGACCACTTGGCGGTTAAGGAATTGACTGGTTGGTTGCACTCAGAGAGTTGTAGTTAACAGCTCAATGTCCAAGAGGAGACCAATGACAAGTGGCATTCCTTGGGGATCAGCGCCGGGACTGGTGCTGTTTAATGTATTTGTAGGTGACATGGACAGTGGGATTGAGTGCACCCTCAGCAAGTTTGCAGCTGACACCAAGCTAAGTGGTGCAGTTGGCATGCTACAGGAAAGGGGTGCTATCTGGAGGGATCTGAACAGGCTTAAAAGGTGGGATCATGCCAACCTCATGAAGTTAAACAAGGCTAAGTGCAAGGTCCTGCATCTAGGTCAGGGTAATCCCAAGCACAAATACAGGCTGGGTAGAGAATGACTTGAGAGCAACCCTGAGAAGAATTTGGGAGTGTCAGTTGATGAAAGGCTCAACATGAACGACCAGTGTGTGCTTGCAGCTCAGAAGGCCAACTGTACCCTCGGTTGCATCAAGAGAAGTGTGACCTGCAGGTTGAATGATTCTGCCCCTCTAATCTGCTTACATGAGACCCCATATGGAGTACTGCGTCCAGTTCTGGGGCACCCAACTCAAGAAGGACATCATGCTGTTAGTGTGGATCCAGAGGGAGGGCCCGGAAGATGATCAGAGGGCTGGAACTCCTCCATTACAGGAACAGGCTAAGAGAGTTTTGGGGCTCTTCAGCCTGGAGAAGAGTAGGCTGCAAGGGGACCTTATAGTGGCTTTCCAGTACCCAAATGGGGGCCTACAGGAAAGCTGGAGAGGGACTTTTTATAAGAGCATGTAGGAATAGAATGAAGGCAAATTGCTTTTAACTGGATGAAGGTATGTTTAGACTAGATATTAGGAAGAAATTCTTTACTGTGAGGATGGTGAGACACTGGAACATGTTGCCCAGAGAGATTGTGGATGCCCCATCCCTGGAAGCATTCAAGGCCAGGCTGGATGGGGCTTTGAGCAACCTGGTCTAGTAGGGGGACTGTCCCTGCCTGTAGTAAGGGGGTTGGAAGTAGATGATCTTTAAAGCTCCCTTCCAACCCATACTGTTATAAGATAGGTTGAATAAGAGCTTGAAGTTTTCATAAAGAAATTAGAGAACTCGACATTCATCAAATATCTTGCAGCAAGTTCTGCCAAAATGTTAACTAGGACTTTCTCTAACACTGACTCTTAACTCTTCAGTGCGAACATGCATATCCAGCACAGAACCCAGCATTGGTACTACTCATAACTGAATCTTTTTTACTCTTTTCACAATAGGCCTTTTTTCCCCATTCTTCTTGTATCCAGCATCAACTATATAAATCTATAAGCCACATTGTAACTAAAATGACATCTGAATCTAGCTTGTTAAGCTTTTTAAAGATGAATGGCAATTCTACAGTCATCTTGATTTTATTTTTTTTCCACTTGCTACAGCCTTCTACACAGCTTTGAAATACCATTCCCTAAATTTGAGAAACAGCAGCTGCCTTATGGGTACCTCAGAATATAGGAAAGACAGCGGAAGTGGGTTATATAGTTTCCCCTATAAGTAATATTCTAACAAGCAAGATTAAAGAGGTGTTCTATATGGACATAACACTGGCCTCAACTATCCAGAAAGAATAACATTTAATAACGATAGCACCAAAAGATAAGGACCCCGGATGCTTATTTGTACTGGGGAAAATGTGTTAATTAACAGCATCACTTCAGCTCCAAATGCAAATAATAAATAATAAGTATTGTTTTAGTTCTTCTTAGATCTTATGATAGAATCATTTCTTGGACTGCACAAATCATGCCTGGTGAATTAAAGTTGCAATATAAGTAGCGTTAGAAGTACCTCATTAAATACATGAAGTGTTTTTAAGTGACTTTCTTTTTACTTTTTAGACTTTTATCACCAGAACAGCCTCCAAAATCAAAATTTCTAACCTTGGGTTCCAAGTTCCGCTACAGCGGACGTACGCAAGCACAGACACGGCAGGCTAGCAACCTCATAGACAGACCGGCTCCTTACTTTGAGCGCTCTTCAAGCAAACGTGTTTCCAGAAGCCTTGATGGTGGTACGAAATTGATGTATTTATTCAGTACAATGATTATATTGCATATGGTCACCCTGATATGAGTTCATTTTGAGAGACCTTGGAGATACTCAGAATTCAACTGGACAAGTCCCTGAGCAACCTGGACTCACTCTGAACAGGTGGTCCAACTAACTAATCTCAAGATATTCCTTCCTAAATTATCCAAAATTATTTTGTGATATGTCAGAAGTTATGATAAGAGTGTATTGCTGTTCACATCAGTGCAATAAGAATCGTAGACTTTGTACACAGCAAAAAGCTGAAAAATAATGTCACTCAGTAACAGGCCTATATTCCTCACTGTTGATATAACTGTAAAATCATTTTATGAAGTCTTAAAAACAAAATGTTCTAACTTACTCCAATTAACCAAAATTATTTTGTTCTTTAACAGCTCCCATGAGTATCTCAGACCAAAGTCTGCTAAGAGACTTCCATACTACAAGAGGGCAGCCTGGAGGAGACAAAATCATTGACCTTGAAGCTGCTGGACAAGCCAAGTTGAAAGAAGGTGGCATAGAAGATGATGGAAGCCCACTCAAAACTCCACAATTAGAGTTGATTCAGGATGGAAAGGTATGGATGTCTTTCACACCAAAATTATTTGTTCATGTAGTACATGTTTGCTTATTTAGAGCCCACCACCTCTGAGCATCATACAGAACACCATATTAAATATTTAAAGAAAATTGTCAAGTATTGTCTGTAGTTTATCTTACTGTTAAGCGTATGTAAACAAAAGTGAAGGTAAACTTGTGTGTAACATCAATTTTCCCCGGGTTTCTTTTATTTCTATAAAGTTAATTGAATTTTCAGTAAGCTTGAGTGAGTTCTGGAAAAATCTTTAAAAGGGTAAATAGTATTTTAATTTCTTAGTTTACATAGACTTATTTGTTCCATTGTAGTGTATGTTATGCAAAGCCAGATGTATTATGACTGCATTTAAATATTTATAGGTAAAAATAGTATTGTTTTAGTAGTAATTTAGCAACATTATTTATTCATTTAAAAACTTCCGTGTTGAACTGAGATACAGATTTCTGTTGAAATTTTTGTTGATTTCTGTTTCCGTCTTTTTTGTGAACAACCATTTGTGTGTCTTGTTTGTTGGAGTTACTGGGGGAATAGATTAAAAAAAAAAAAATCAGTTTGCAGGATTTGGTATAGAAATTTCCTTCCACAGTGTTGGCTAAAACTTTGGAGTTGTGTGATTATTATCTCTCTCTAGGATATTACTTATTTTTCTACCAGTTCTTCAGAACTTTCATATTTAAAAAGTAATTTTGTTTCAAAAAGTTTTTTGCCAGTTAGCTACCCATTTGAATCTTAGTGGTGATATTTGGACTGCGGAAATTTCTCTGTGCAACTGACATGTTCCCACTGCACTGAAGTATAGGAAGGGAACAAATACCAATGGTTGTGTTTTTGTTGTTCTTCTCTAACTATTGAAAGCATTTTTAAATTAGCCTAGGAAAAGGCACATGTGAACTTCATTGGTGGGAGAAAAATAGTTAAATTACTATGTTTTGACTTTGGGCGTGATAAAAATGATGATTCTCCCTTGTTTCTGAAGAGGTAGTATCTTTCAATCTTTTAATCAAGAGAAGAAAAAAAACCAGTATTTTGGGAAGTTTTTCCATGAAGCTGATTAGTAAGGTTTTGTTGCACATGCCAACTCTGTGAACAGCTCTTTTTTCCACCTAAAGCACTCTTTAAGTCTTAGAGGAAATGGTTATAAACCCAAGAATCAAAGTGCCAGCTTGTCTTTCGTGTACTGCACTGTCCTCTGACCTTTCTCCAAAGCTTTGAATGTCTGTCTGCTTCCATCTGATGCAAGTGACTACTGCAGTTCAAAAGTGCACGATTCTTAGCAGCTGGAGAACAGAACATTTGTAATGGTTTTGATTTCATAATCCGTAGAAGTAAACAAGCTGGCTGCTTGTAAAACACAAGGGGATTTCTATTTTTATTTGGCGTTTCTATTGCGTTAATAGAGCTATCCCTAAATAAAAAAATTCACTAACAAATAATTTCTTTCTTTCTCCCTCTTTTTGTACCTACAAACTTGCATTTTGTTGTGCTTTCATTTTCCACTGTGCATAGAATTTATTTCTTCAGCTCACTCACATACACCCACCATCACTACCCATCCATTCTGCATCATCACATCTCACAAACTTGTCACCTATCCCTGAGATGGACATGCTTTCAGATATTTCAGAGGAAGATCCTCTCTGTGAGCCTGTCCTTGCCATTCCAGATGTCTTGGAATGTAATTCTATGAGAGAAATTCCAGATCATAAAGAAAATAAAATAGCTCCACCGAACAGTAACTTTGAATCTACGAGAGCACTAGCTAGTCAAGGCCCTCCTGCCATGGAAGGGAAAATCTGTAGAAATGAATACAAAAATACTGAATTGTGTGTCTCATTCAGCTTTATCAGATGCTTTTCTTTTTGTTTCCGATCGCTGCTTGATGAAGATGGTTATATTAGTTTTCCTAGCCTTCCTGATGTTTGCATCTCTTTCCTCCCGCCTGGTCTTCAGCACTATGTTCCTATCACCTCTCCTTCCTTCATCCCCTCTTTTCTCCTTATCTTTGTGCTGCTTCTCTCAGCTTTCCAGTCTATTCCTCTTTCACTCACATTTTCCCTTCCTCTTGCTCTGTCCCTCTGCTACCTGGAGCCTAAAGCGACTTCATTTAGTGCCTCTTATGACAATGACCTGAATGACAAAGCAGAGGAAGAGGAGGTGTGTAATTCTGTTGCTTAAATGTTGACTCCATGTATAGCCATTATGCTAGTTTTCCCAGAGGCTTCCTCAGTTTTGCACACTGGCAGGGATATGTGTATGTATCTTTCCAACTTTTCCTGTTTGTGCAAAACTGACATTCTTTAGTCAATAGGTGGGTTTTTTTGCTTTTGGTTTTTTTGGGGGGGGTTGGTCGATCTTTGCCTGAACTCATGCAGCATGCATAATTTTATGATCTTCTACTCTACTAAGGTAGACTTGCTTTGTAGTTCAAAATGTTTAGAAACAGAAAAAAACTGAAAACTGCTGTGAAACAATATACCTAATATTATTATTACCTGATAATAATTGCAATTTGCATTACTTGCACTGTCAGTTTGTGTGTTAAAATGCGTATCTCCTCAGTGCATTCATTTTGCAATGCACATCTCAGAAGTTCTGTGAAGATCTGAAAAGTGAAATTCCTAAGTGCTGAATTAAAAAATTATTACTGTGATTTCTTTAAAAGTAGCTTTTGCTATGATAGATTTTCAGATGTTCTCTGTTCTACAAAGATATTTTCAAAGTTGAGTCTAAGATTTTTTTTTCTGAAGTACTTTCATTAATCTCTAGCAGTAGTTAAGGCAAAGACTGATTTGATTCCTTAGCTGAGATTTCAGGTTTTGTCAGACTTTAATCACTGAACTCTGAACTATCTTTGAAATACACTATTATAATTGCTATACAGAATCTTCTTTCACATTAATGTATTGCTCTGATCATCGGGAGTGGCTGACAAAATGCCTCCTTTCCTTTACTGTGCATGTTAGTGCAACAACACCACGCACTAGAAAAAGGTGGTTTATTTTGATCCTCAAAGTAAATATAAAGCAATATAATGGAATCAAAAGTGGGGAAGAGGGCCTGCGCAATTTTACATTTAATAAACTTGCTTAAACCAATTCAATCAATAGATATAGTATATATTAAAAACTTGCTAAATAGGACACACAACTCTAGTTTAATAACAAAAAACATTACTTTAAAGATTTTCTTATTTTTTCGGTGGCCTAAAGCAATCCATGATAAAATGAAGTTTCAGACAGTAGAATCATAGATAAGTGAAAAATGAATAATAGTGTGATACGTACCACATCATGTGTGCGTTCACACAATCTAAAATGCAACAGTACATGCAATAAGAAAACCACTCTTCAAATGTGCATGTTTGTACACATTGACTTTTCAAGATGGTTGGTATTTGTACCTGTGGCAAGGCTGAGATGAGAGGTGGTTTGCTTTTTAAAGAATGCTTTTCCTTAGGCCATTCAGAATACTTGTGAGTAAGATGTGAAAATCACTTCCAGCAGAGTGCATTGCAGTTTGAGGAAGAATATATTCACCTAAAGAGAGTTGAGGCTCAAATAACTCATCTCAAAACAACAACATTCCTAGAATAATTAAGACAACTTCTAAGTATGTTATTTAGGTGTTTAACTTGAGTTCTAGACTGTTTTACCAAAAATAAGTCATGCATTATATTCCATTTTCCCATCAAGTCACTGCAGGGCTTAAGGTTTTTATCATAGAAATTATACATACCATCTTTTTCTGTCATTCATTTTTAATATCCATCTGAGATAACACTGAGAAGCAAGTGGGACATAGTGTGAAATTTTCATTTTTTCATGCCACATACCAAGTATTACTTCAGCCATTCTACAGCAATGTAGGTGAAGGAAGACCAAAGTCGCTTAATAATTTCAACAACATCTGGGGCCGAAATAATAAAGGTCTGTAAATAATAGCACGCTTTGCAGCATTTACAAAGAGATGATGCCTCTGTTATTCTGTAAGCATGTGTTAATGGCTCCTTTTCTTGATAATTTACAATGTGCTTACGTAGGTGGAATCTGAAGAGGAGGAAACACAAAAGAAGGTGCATAGGTTTTGTTTGTTTTTTATTTTTACTGTTAAATCTGGCTGCAGCTGCCTGATTTTTTTTAGCACCTTTAAGTTTCTGTGCGTTTTTGTCTGAATAGTGCCTTTTCAACGTATCATTTTATTTTCTGTATTTGACTATTTGACAATCTGTTTCCAAGAGTCTTTTTTCTTTTTTTCTTTTTCTTTTTTTTTACATAAAAAAACTTGCTGGTACATGTTATGTTAATTTTGATTTTTTTGTGTGTGTGTATGTGTGACTTAATTTCACAGAGCAATTCGTTGAGAGTAGACGGGGAAAATATTTATGTCAGACATAGCAATTTAATGTTGGAGGTTTGTATATAATACGAGAAACACTTTCTTTTCTCATGGGCTGCCAGGCTGCTTGGGATGGGAGGTCACCTGCAGGCTGTTATGTACACAGTGCATGAAGTGCATGGGGAAAAACAGCTTGGAAATGATGCATGTTATACTTCTAGTTTCTGAGTTTTTAGAAGTTTTAGAAAAGAAAAGAAAACCCTTAGCTTGAATGTTTAATGTGTTTTTTTGCTAGATGTTTTCAAGGTGGCAAGTGGGAATAATAGCCCTATTTAGATATATGGAACACGTGAGGCTGATTCATCAACATAAATGGGATTTTTTTTATACATTACTACCTAAAGCGTGCATTTGCTTTGTTGAGTAGAGTTTCCAGTTTTCACCAGTTAGATCAACTTTTTTCAAAGTGTAACCTGAACTAATGGAGCTAGTAAGGCACAAGTACAGTGGTGTAAGTATAGAAAAACTAATTCTGGCTCTGACAGTTAGGATTTTTAGGAGCTTTGAGAAATGTAGGTAAATATCAGATTTTTAAAGTGCTTACAAATGCTTATGGAATTTTTGTTTTACTTTTTCATTTTTAAATGGAAGCAATCTTGCTCCCTAAAGGTAGATTCTCATTGATAATGAGCAACAACAAAGAGCTTCGAACAGTATTTTACTGTGTAGTGCTATTACTAGCCACTGAAAAGGAGATTTTTATTTTATTGTAAGGATTTCCATGTAGTCTGTAAATGTGGATTGATCTGTAGTTAAAATCAGCATCATTTAACACTGTCATTAATAACATAAGCTAGTGACTGAAGAAAATCCAGAAAACCCTACCGTTGTCTTTAACTTAATTCATCCAAATGGGGCTATAATTAATTCCTTTTGTCACAAGAACTGTCTTTTTAAAAATAATTGTTTGTTAATAAGGTGGTATGTGGATCGCAGTAACATAACTAATACATTGTTTGGCTTTTCGGAGCTTTTGGTCACTATTTAAACTTTGCTTTTCTATAACTCACTAAAGCACTGAAAGCATACACTGCGTAACTTCGCTGTGATCAAGTCTAGGAAACATGCCTTGTGTCAAGCAAAGACAGTTTTTAAAATTATGACAAGAGTATTGTCAGTAGCTTCACTTGTGTAGTGGAATGCCCTTGGTGTAATGTTTCAGTATTTCAATCTCTCTGAAAATAAACACATAAGGAGAACATACTTAATACCTCCTGATTATTAGTCGTAGATGATAAGTGAGGCATTGGTCCTGTAAAAATATTAACCTACTGAACTACCAAAAGGAGGAAAGGCTCTTAGTGTTCAAGGTGTCTATCTGAAGATTTGGAGAATAAAGAAATAGATTTGCAGCACTGTTGATGCTGAAGATACAAGTGAAAAGACATCAGAAATGTAAGAGTTTGTATTGGTTTTATGTTTTATATTACTTGACAAGTTTTTTGATAGAAATTGCTGTATCTGAGCCTCAGTGATTCATAATAAAATGTAATTTGATATTGTCACTGGTGCCCCCTTTGATGCTTGCCTGTGAAGATCCAGTTTAGACAAGACACTCATGGGTTTTGTGCATATCAATATATATACTTGACAGTCGTATCCACAGTCAGGTTCTTGAATGTGGTGAAGACTGATAATAGTCTTTAAGTTCTTACATCTGATTCTTCCAGTACATTTAAGCCTACACAATAGGCACAATGAGTAGTTCTTCTAAAGTGAATGATGCAGGTGTTAGTTGGTTGCATACTTGGCCCTGTGTTATCATGTTCACAGAAATATATCTTGCATGAAGCTTGCAATCCCCAAATTTTTCCTTCTCTGCTTAGAAATTTCAGATGAAAGCAAGTAATCACTAGAAATTGTTTCAAAGGGTTGGTAGTTTCGTATTTTGGATGAAAGTGGCTCTGTTAGATAACTGCACAGCATTATCTTTTCTTTGCATTAAAATGTAGTAGTGTTGTAGTGTATGAGTCACCAAAAAATTAACTTTGTTCCATTATGACCTTAAACTTTTAAGGTATCCAAAGAACAGCTCTTCAGACACAAGGCACTTTCCTTGGTTTGATTCTTTTTTTTTTTTTTAACTGTTAAGTTTGCTTTTGTTGTCGTGTTTTGTCCTACTTTGTTTTACGTTGCGGGTTGCTAGGACCTGGATAAGACTCAGGACGACTTACTGAAACACCAGGCTAGCATTAGTGAGCTCAAGCGCAATTTCATGGAATCCACACCTGAACCACGCCCCAATGAGTGGGAAAAGCGGCGTATCACACCTCTGTCCCTACAGACACAAGGGGTATGTCTCTGCAGACACTTGTCCGCATGCATTTCCATACAACCCTGTAGACGATGTAGTAAATGCCTTTTGTCCTTTACACAAATTTGACTGGCTAATGTAATATTTGTTTATACTACGTATACATTAACTTTTTACTACTTATCATTGGGCCTGACTTTAAATAATGCATGGAATTTTATTCCACAGCAACTGGACTAGAGTCACTAGACAAAGCTGGAAGCAATGGCAGTATTTTGCTCTGTGTTAATGGCAGCTTAAACTTCACTCTGAGAGATATAAAGAGTTAATTTTTCAGTGACAGAAGTTTTTACTCCCTGTGCCTTTTAACTCTTCCTAGGCAGTCTATGCAGAAACAGCTCTGACCTGCGTTGTTTGCAAAGGACCTTATGTGATTGGTTAATTCATATTGTTGGCTGCTTTGAGGCATGTTTACTGTGGTTGTTAACATTTATTCACCTTAGGCTCCACATGTGTATAAAATGAATTTATCTGCTTTTTGTCTAAGCCTCATTTCTGACTAAACATTAAAACAGCAGTTTGGAAAACAATTTTCCAAAAATATCATTTTAGTTATTTGTGGCAGAGAACCTGCCTAGTCAAATTTCTGTCTATTCTTGAACTTCTAAATTTGAGGAGTTAATTGCCGCTGCTTTTATGGAGTAGAACAGCCAATCAGATCAGTTCTCAGAAACAATCAGTATATCTTCTGTCTTTCCCTATTATTTCTACCACTCCCCAACTGTAGGGAAATTACTCCTCTAATTTTTGAGTACTGCACTAGAATCTCTGCATAGTGATAAATGCACAGGTACAAATTTACAAATGTCTGACACATAAATAAATATCTATTTGGTTAAAATAGGCATTTATGTAGAAATGTAACTTAATTTTTATGTGCTTGTGTGCATTTTTTATGTTGACTTCTTCATGTTGAAGCTAAGGCCCTTTCAAGTATTGTTCTTTTTTGTTGTTGTTGTTCATATAGTATGTTCTGTTATTTTCAGATGGTTTGGTTTTATGTTTATGAATAGTGTGTATCTGTCTCATTGCTTGTTGATTTACACTGGTTTTACAAAATGAAAACTAAATAGAAAAAAGGAGACCATATTTTCCAAGTGAAAACGCTGCCTGGGAAGGAGAAGCAATGGACTGCAATGCCATCAATTGCTGGAACAAAACCAGAGGAAACTGATAGGGTGGCTGCCCTGAAATCTACTGCCTTTTTGCTATATCTGCTGTGGGCTAGCTTGGGCACTTCCTTCTTTTCCTTTTTTTTCCCCTCCCCTGCTACCACTACTGCAAAGAAAAGTTTGAGTTTCAAACCAAGATCTGTATATATGAATGCCAGCAACATTCTGCTTAAGCACTAAACTGAATATGAAATTGAGTGGTTCCTGTTTGAAATGAACAATTTTTTCCACTGGAAAATTACTGTATTTTATGTGATTTGGATGACAGCAAAACATGTATTTCCATTCCAGGTGGAAATAATTGCTTGCTGTTTCCAGTTATGTAACAATTCACACAATAACTTTAATTTCATGTATTTACTATGTAATCATTTCTCAAATCAATAATGCTAGAAATGCAGTCACGTTCTGAGTATCTCCATGCTTCCGTACTTTTTTGTTAATCCAGGAAAAGGGAGATTTTTTCTTCTCTCCTAACCTGATTAATATCTATGCAGTGAAAAGTGCTATATAGTAAGTGGGACTGCTAGCAGTATGATAGTGATGATGGAGGTGGCAATTGGGATGTTGGCTTTTTTACATTACTTTGGACTGTTTTCCACCACCTGGAAATGGGATGAAAACAGATTGTAAAGTTGTCAGTCCTATTTAAGTAACACACATAAATACCAAGATTGGGAAAAAGCATATTTTCATCCCAAATTATTTGTTGATGTTGGTAGTTAGAATTCAAGTTCTTTGTTACCTCTAAATTTAAACTTCCTTCTGTTAGTACACATTGCTCAGTCTTATTCCTGGAAGATATGTTTTCCTGCCTATCTTTTAGGATAGTTGGATAATAGTTGAGAATAAAACAAGGATATCACTGCTAATATTCTTTCTTTTTTTCCTTCTTTGGCAAAATAATTGCATTTCCTGTGTATAAGAAATGTTGCATTGGATATGTCTCATTTGTATCCCTGTACTCACACAAATGCACAGCATCTGTGACTTAATTGTAATAGAAATTGTGGTGTAATTATATGTATGTCACAAAAAAAAAGATACTATCATGTTATGGTTATCCAGAATCATTACTCTGGTTGGTTTTTTTTAAACCTCTTTTGCTTCCAGACAAGTCAGTGTATGTTCCTATGTGCCAGAAGATTGTTTGCCAGGAAATTAGGCATCTTCAGAGACTAATGCATTGTTGTTGTAAATACAGTAATTGGTTCAAGTATGCCAGTTCTATCCATACATCTGGTTACTTGTACCAAATGCCTCTTCAGGGAGCAAGGGTTACATTGTGAAGCAAATTGTGCTATTGGAGTTTTCTTTTTAAAAGATTAAAAGGTCAAAAATCGCTGGTTTGCCTTTTTATCCAACGTTCATTGGATATAGTGAATAAGAGAAAGAAAGTGATGGTGAGGAATACATTGCCCTGATGAATATCAAACATTATATGAAGGTAGACATAATCAACTTGCATTTTCTTAAAATTTTCTTGGACACCTTTGGAATATAATTCAAATCTTAGTGCAGGGGAAAAAATAGTTCTTTTTCCTTTTCTGTTCTTCTGCATGCCAAATGTACAGCACTGTATGCATGGTAGCATGGTGTAACCTAAGTGTTCAGATTCTGTGTTGCCAGTGCACAGTAAGTCCACTCAAACAGCAGTTATCTGCATGGCTTTTTGACTTTCCTCTGGCATGTGCTTCTGCCCTGTCTATTACCTGGCAAAGCGTATGTTGTGTCCACATTAGGTATCTGTTACACTATTGGCTTTTTATTTTAACTGCTTATACTCATAATGTAATGTAAGAGCTTATGAAAATAAAGCTGAAATAAAGAACTTTGCTTTTTCAGAAGCTTGTATCCACAAGAATTTTAAAAGCTTGTTTTACCATATGGCTTCACAAGTACTACCAAAAACAGATCAGGCTATAAGCAACTTAGGCTTTAAACCTTGTAAGCTTCTGTGTACACTTGAATAAAACAGGTTTTAGCAATACAATGGGAAAGTTTTTGAAAACAGTTTCTTTAATAAATGCAAATTTGCTCATTTTAAGTATTTGAAAAACAGCCTCTATGAGTAAATTCTTTTTAGCTTTGTTGGAATTTATTGTTTGAAGCAAATGTATGTGGCTGCCTGAAGCTGTGGAACAGATCGAAATTGCACAGTGTTCAGAACAGATTTTTAAAAGGGAAAAATCCCAATACTAATAGTAGTAGTTCAAGAAAGCTGTTTTATTAAGAAATCCATGGAAATATTTAATGCTTTTAATTTTTACAGCGTGAAGTAAAGAGCCGAAGTATATGCTTGATGGGCACAGAGCATTAGATCGCTGCTGAGCGCTGTGATTACGGCAACGTTCTGTCGCGTTCCTCTCTTTCTCGCCCTCCCCGATGCACACGAGGTGTGCCCTGAGCTCGTACAGAACGCTCCGGATCAAACGCTTGTCTTCGTCGTGTTTTCTCTCTTGCCGACCCTTTCCTTTGTAGGCTGCTGCCGCTTTGTCCGTCGCCGTCTAATTCTTTCCTTTCCCTTCTCTAACTCGTCTAGAGCCTAGAAGAAGAGATAGCGTCCATTCTATTTAGCCAAGAGCGCTTTGGCGCCGGCCCGGACCGGCCCTTCGCTGCCGCCCGCGCGGGGCCAGCAGAGGGCGCTGCGGGGGAGCAGACCGCCGCCTCGGCCCCGCCGCCCCAGGTGCTTCCCCGCCCCGCCCTGCCCGCGGCCGCTGCCCTGCGCCCAGACGGCCGAGAGGGGCTGCGGCTGTGCCGTGCTGCGAGAGCCGGCTGGCCGCTTGGGATGGTGGGAGGGAGTCAGTCAAAGAGCTTAGTTATGTACTTGCTAGGCAACGGGAGTAATAACTGGCTGCTGTTGCAGCATTGCCAGGCATGCTGGCATGCACTTTATTAGTTGCTTTGCTTGGTTAGCAGCCGTAAATGTTAGGATTAAGTCACAGATGATGTGTTGGTTTTGTATTGTTGCTGCTTGAATTCAAATTGAGGTTTTCCAGAAATAATTAGATAAAAAGTATATAATACATAGTTTTTGTGGGCTGTCAGGCATATCTATCACAATTCATTTGTCGCAAAACAAATACTAACATAGTTGCCTTAATCTCATCATTTGGGACTCAAACTAAATCCTAATGGGATCATCTTGGTAGTCACATGTCGCTATTTTGACAAGATACAAGCATGAGCAGCCTCCCTCCCAAAAGTGAACAACTAATAAAATCTTACAGTAGTTTGTTGTTTTTCTGTTCTTTTTATTATTATCTTGTGTGATGATAAACCAATACCAGAATGCATTTTTTTTGTATATTTTCCCATGGTATTTCTTATTCCCAATTCCTGATTCAATTGAGATAAATAATTACCTCAGTAGCATCACTGATTTAAACTTTTATTTTCAGTCTTTCTTAATCAAATTGCTTTATTCTGCTTAATAATGTCCATAATACTTACCTAATTTTGAATGAAATATTGGAGTGAACTAGGAGAGGAGCATAGTTCTAAGTGAGTCTCGCAGTGGATACACAGTGTCTGTTCTGTATCATGCATATATATTCTTAAAGCTAGCTTGAGGAATGTTATGCTGTTTAAAAGGGTTATGCATTGATTTTTGTTCTCTGATTGCTTTTTGTTTCACAGAAACATGCTTCCAGAGCAGAAGGATCTTGCACTGAAGTCAGCAATGCTGATAAGGTTCTACTGATTTTTCCATAGTTAAACTTGGCTCTAACTCTTCCAGTCCATCTTCATTCTTTCTTTTCAGTTAACCATCACAACCATCTTTTGTCTTCTACATGACATGAACCAACCATCAACTAATTTTGTTTCCATCACTTTAATTTATTCATATAATCTACTTTTGTTTTTCCTCATCCATGTTTTTTGTGCAGAGTTCACATGAGACTCTGGACATAGTGGAGGAGAAGAAGCAGGCAGAGGTTGGGATAGAAGAAACACTAGTCATAGACGAAACCAACAAAGGGAAAATACAAGTTGCCACTGATGCTGGGGAAACATGTAAGGTGGAGCACTTGACAAAAAAGGACTCTTCTTCTTTGCCATCAGATAGTAGTAGCAGCAGTAGTAGTGAGAGTGAGGATGAAGAGGTGGGAGAATACCAGCCACATCACAGGGCTGTTGAGGAAGTCATCAGAGAAGAACAGGAAGAAGAGGAAGATGTGAAAAGGAAAGAACATGAAGAAAAAATACAGCATGTGGAAGCCACTCCAGAAGGCAGTCAGCTAACTGTACCAGCTGAGCACACGCAAGTTGCAGCTGAAGATTTGGTTCAGGAAAATACAACTACCATACCTGCAGAGGAGAAGAATTTGTCAGAGGAAATTAAGCAAGATCTATATGAAGAAAAGGAGGAGGAACAGCTCAAACTCAATGGAGATGTGTCTCATGTTGACATTGATGTTTCACCACAAATAATTTGTTGTTCTGAGGTAAATGGTAGAACAGTTTGACAACTAGGTTAAGCAGAGAGATTTCTTTGGGTGAAAATGTACCTGCCTTTCTTCTTCTCCTATTCTTCCAGCTGTTACAGCATCCAACAAGATTCAGACCATTTGGAAGGGGAAACCACTGATGAGCAGTGAATTTCTGTCTCTTTCAGTTATGGTTTCTGGCTGTTTGCTGTAACTGGTTGAGCATCACCAGTAAAGCAAGCCTTCCGAAGACTGCCATCTCCTTTTTATACCCCCTTATTTTATATACGTATACATAATGTTACTTATTATTTGTTTCTTATGTTTTAAGTCTTGTCTTGTCTATTTGTCAATTGTTTTTGACACGTCCATGACACATAATTGTAATTGGAAAATTATTGGTAATTGGAATTAGAAAACATCCATCCCAAATTTTAGTTTCTTCTTTTCCCTCATTATTCACTGCTTTTCTTGCTTTTTTTTCTTTTTAAAGATGTGTTATGAAATTGCAGACTAGAGTTAGTATATCTTTCAGTGTGTATATGTGCACATGTTTATTATTACACTATTTAGGGAAGCATAGGTTAGTTCCAGTCAGAGTCGCCTGATTCTAGCCAGACAAGGTTGAAGGGTACTTTACTGGGTCATCTTCGTAAAAAAGAGGAAAGAACAAGTGGGAAAAACGAAGTGTGGGTATGCATGTCTTTGTAACGTGAGCATGATCTTTTACTGAGTTTTTTCAACAATTGGGTGTTATTTTTTTCTTGCTTGTATTATATTACTGGCTCCCTCTCCCCACACACACTTAAACAACTTTTTATGTTCTTGTCTTCTATATACATAGTCTCAGGTGTTCTGACTAATGACCTGAAAAAAATAATTTATAAGACCTTTAGAAACAGACAACCCACACTTCCTAAAGCCTAGCCTGTTTGAAGAGAGGGCAGAAGGGCTTCTATGTGTGCAGGAGTATTTGAGGGAAGGAAAAGACTTTTTTTCATTTGGATTTCTCTTAAAATCCAAGTGTCTAAGTCGTTTTTCTGTTCCAGTAGTGTTCCGGTATTCAGAAGTTAAACTTTTACATTATTACTGGAATTTCCTGTCCTTATTTGCAATTTGGCAAAGTAAAGATAGATATTTTTCCAGTATTAATTTTGAAGTGAAGCATATCCATCTGAGGTAGCTATCAGTTTCTCATTTGATGGAACCTTTAAACAAACAGAGATTTTTTCCTACTGATGCTTCCTTACACATTTTAAATGCCTTTCAACTGGGTTTTATCAATTATCTTCTGTGATATTTACCATTGGCTGAAACGTGGAATATTGGCAAAGCTTATTAGGAGGTAGGAATTTTCTGCTGTATATGTGCATTTGTTATATCATTTCATTTGCTTATTACGTGCTTTACAAATGGGAAAAGAGACAAATACTTATCTTAATCTTAGACTTCTTATGTATTTTTTATTTTACTTTCTTGTTCCATTTTACAAACTTCCTTCTTATGTCTTTTGAGTTGACTGCTTATTTCTTGCACCATAGCCTCCTGTAGTGAAAACAGAGATGGTAACCATTTCAGATGCCACACAGAGAACTGAAATCTCCACAAAAGAAGTTCCAATTGTTCAAACAGAAACTAAAACCATCACATACGAATCTCCACAGGTACAGTGGCAGGGTGATTTGTTACACTGTTTGAAAGCTAGGTTTTATTCCAATACTTTGTAGCTCAAAATAAGTCATATCAAAGATATGTGCTTTTCAAAAAACTATACTTTCACTTGGAACTAAGATTATAGTTTGGCTATGAGAAGTTAAGTGAAATGTGTGTAAATAGAACAATATTTCTACTAAAGTTCTGGAAGTATATTTTGTTGATAGAAGAATTTAGTTGTCTGCAAAGGTATAACTCATTTAGTTTTGAAAAGTTGGTTAAAATAGTAACATTGCTTCTGAAAAACGGACTTAACTTTGGTCATATAGTTTCCACTATAATAAATCTTAGTCTGCACGGACTCTGTAAACTTGGTGGCTTTGATTTAAAGTTCACTGTAACATTTTCAAACTGAACTAAAGAATAAATGTATGTTTATAATTTAAAAAAAAAAAAAAATTTCTTCTGAAAACAAAGCTTTTAAATGTTAAAAATGTCATTTCTCTTTTCACAGTTTGACGGTAGTGCTGCTGGCAGTGCTGGTGTGCTGCTGAGTGCACAGACAATTACATCAGAGTCAATTTCTACTACCACAACTACACACATCACAAAGGTAAAATGGATAATCTCTCGCTGAACTTAAATAAAAATCTAAGTCTTACATGAATTCACTTTTAGCTTAATATATGCTAAACTATCAAAGAAAACTGACTTGCGGTGGATTAGATTCATTCCAGGCACATGTGGGAGTTTTCTTTTTTCTGTACTCAGATTTTGAACAGAAGAGACTTAATAAATAAACAGGAATATCTGGGAACAGAATGGCGAAAATTAGAAAATGTGGTGTTTAATTATTTAATTATTTTTAACATTTCATGTTGATCTTATTTCTGTGTTTGGTCAGGATAATACCATTAAGTTCATCTCTTCTGATACATGATGCTATCTTATAGAATTATGTTAACATCATCTATTTGTCTCAGTTCTGCAGAAACCTTGCTCGTGGTATCTCTTGTAACAGTGTACTGAAATGATGTTTCCTTAGCCTTTGTGTTTACCCTCCTTTGTACTGCTAGGTTTAGAGCATACCACTACTATACCATACCACTACTCTTCTTTGCAAGCATATTTTGGTGTTGGATTATGTGTTCTGAATTCCGTGCTTGAAAAGGAAAGGAAAACTAAATGTTAACAGGACATGGCATCTATTTTGGTCTCCTATACTATTTCATGCCAGAGTATGATAGAACTACAGAAGTGCAATTTTTATTCATCATTTATGTAAATACCTAATTTTGGGTGTGTCCTCAGAACAAAGTTTCCAGCTCTTGTCTTTAAACTTTTAACATAATAAACATAATAATAAATAAAAATTATTTCTGTGAGAATTTTTCTATTTGCTAAAATTAGAGTGAGAAATGAAGAAACAAAGCATGAAATTATTTCGTTCAGCAATGTGAAATAATATTGAAAACTTGTTGTCAGAAGAGTACATAAACTACAGAACTGAAAACCATATCGTGTTTGAATTTAATGTGGGATTATTTAGAGAATAAGAAGCTCACTGCTGGATAAGTCAAATTTTTCTTATTGTCAGATTTGTATAATGGGAAACCCCCAAATTCCTATTTGTCTGCTATTGAGATCTATTCAGACTTGGACTCCAATAACAAAAGGAATTCTCCATTCCTTGTTTTTTAATCAAGGTTTTTGGTTTTTTTTAGCAGTGGCTAGCATGTGACTAACTGCATAACTGAAAAAGGAAAGAATGACTTAGCACCACGAATACTTAGAATTAACTGCAGCCTAGTGACACAAAAATGTACATGTTTCAATACAGTAAAGGAATGTTTGTAGCTGTAAGAACTAATTACACTAAGATGCTTTCTTTTTTTTTTTTGTGCCATCTGTAGATGGTTAAAGGTGGTGTATCAGAAACAAGAATTGAGAAACGAATTGTCATTACTGGAGATGCAGATATTGACCATGATGAGGTGAGTATCTAAACTATTAACACTTAGTATGTTACCAGTAGTTCAGTGAGATCTAGAAAATCTTTCAAACAAAATAGGAGAAAAGTAGAGAAGCTGAATGTGAAGATGTAGAAAGATCATGAGATTGTTGATTGCAGCAAACTTTTTAGACTCTGGTGTTAACTGAATAGAGTATGACTGAGAGGTAAAAGCATTTGTGACTTTGCATTATAGATTATGCGAGTAGATTTCATGCTGTTTTTAAAGGGATTGCTTATTTTGGAAAAGACGCGATTTGTTTAGTGCTGCTTTTGCCATTTGGGAGGAAAAGCATGACTAAAATAATTTATTTTGATACATGAATCTAGATAGATAGAAGTCTCTGCTGCTTTATGTCAGCAACTTCTGAATGTGGAATTCATCTCCACCAAAAGCTTTGAAATATATTAAGGCATAAAATCTTGAACATGTAAAATAGTTTTTTGCTTCTATTTACAGAATTCTGTACCAAAAAAAAAAAAGTTGATTTGCAGAAATCTTATATAGGTGCTTTTGATCTCTGTTAGCACCAGTTTTGTTTTACGGTGCCTTGGAAATAAAGGTTAAAATTACTTCTATCTGCCCAATTGTGAAGATTGAATTTAAGAAGTACACCAAAAAATTTGAGAAAGAACTGCGATTATCTATTCTTTGTAGAGATGATTGCACTTTTTTTATCTATGAAACTGCAATGAAAAAGTCAATCAACAGTCACTGCATAATACAAATGAAAAAGCCTACCTTATACATAAAGTTGCAGTGAATCCAATTCTAACTTTATGAAAGCTGCACAGCTCAACAGAATTTAATTTAACTTCTTAGTATAATATAGTGAGAGCTTTCAGGGAATTTAATTTCAGATTTTGATCTGCTACGAGAAAGTGGCTCTTGACAAGTTCAAGCTCTTCTTGAAACTTGTAATTAAATGATAGGGTTGTTCAGCATTAGGCATTGCTCTTGTCTGCCTTTGCACAATGCTCTTGGGACATCTGGAAAGGTCACACAATGCCTTTAGTATACTAGGCAGTGCTTTTAGTAAAACCATTCTCCAAGCCGTTCTTTGTTTTGAAATAAGTAGGTAATGGAGCAAAATAGATGAAATTATTGTTCATTTATATTTAATCACTGGAATGTAAGGCATTGAGCAGCTCTTAACAAATTTAAGAAATCTCGATTGCAATTTCCTCAGTAGATATAGAGCTCTTGAGAAGCGCAAACTGTTTTGTTTTCTTGCCCTGTACGTTACTAAAACAATTTTCGGTAGGAAAAGAATATTTTAGTTTGGAGTTTCAGAACAGAAGTGTTAGTTACACTTCTAATTTAAAAATTAGAGGCCTAAAGAGAACTGAAGATTATTTTACTATTAGTCATTTGGTGATCAACCCTGATTAGGTCTCAGCAGTCCCTTCCTTTTAAATCATTATTTGTACTGCACAGGTTACATTTGGTATGTTGTGAAATACAAACCAGTTACAGTTACCAGTTGCTCATAGGAGCTCACTTGAGGAAACGTTGGTAATTATACACACTGCATGCATTGGTATATGTTCCCTTAATAGGACCATCCTCATTTTGTCTTCATTTGCCCAATCTGTTGCAAAAGTTCTAAAACTTCTTATATAAAGTACTCTATGTCCTCTGGATTAAGATGGAAACATTACAGGGAGAACCTTATGGCTATGTGCTACTTGCTGTAAATTTTCGTAGCCATTACATTAGTGTGTTTTGTAGTTGTTGTTTTCTGTTTCTTTTGTTTTGTTTTTGTTTCCCAAGCCCTCTCATGTTTAGGAATTTTAGACTTCTGAATAATTATTCCTGAAGTTACTGATGCTGCACACCTATTCTCAGGTCTCTTAAGACCTGGGTCCTATTCTTTGGTCCCGTAAGGCCCCTTCTGTAATGCTTCTTTCTGCTATTAAGTTATGTATTTTGAATGTGTTGGCAGGCTCTGGCACAGGCAATCAAAGAAGCCAAAGAACAGCACCCTGACATGTCTGTCACAAGAGTAGTGGTGCACAAAGAAACTGAACTTGCTGAGGAAGATGAAGACTAAAATCTAAAATGCCCTCAAGCAAATATTTCAGGTAAATTTATAATAAACTTATGTTGCGATTTCTATCTCTATTTTCTACTGCATTGTCTAATAAGTTGGCTTGAAAAAAAAAATACAGTATTTGCTATCTATTATGAAATGCTGAATTTAAATGGGCATTAGTAGAAGACAGTTAATGTACGTTTTATTTTAAAGTCTAATCTGACATTAAATTCACATCTGCCTTTAAGTGTCTCCTGGGTTTCTCATAGTGCTTTTGTGGTATTACCTACGATGCTTGCTCAAGATGTGTTTTTCACATTAAAGGGACTTTGGGCTACTTCTGCAAAGCGCGAAGATTAAGTGATGATTTTCTGTTTACACTACAATGGAAGTGTGCAATTGAAGTCCTCACCTTACCTTTTGCTTATTTAGAAGGAAGACTGCAGTTATCAGTTGGGAGAGGGCCTGCTCAGACACTTCAATTCAGCTTATTCTCCATCTTAACCACATTGAAATATTTGCTTTGTGTTATTTTCTCAGATGAGAAGGTAGATGCTTTGACAACTGAAATTTTTAAACCCTTTGTCAGTTCAAAGAAAAATTTGAAGAGATGCTGATTCAGTAGGCTCTCGTTTCAGCTGGAAAACTATTTTACATTCTTTGGTTTTAGAACTGTTTAATTTTGGTCTGGACATTTTTTTTTCTGTTGGAAAAGGTCAAAACATATCCCATTCTTAGTGAAATTCAAAAATCTATTGTATTTGCAGTCATTCACTGATTTAAAACTAAAAGCTAAGCTTAAACAAGGAAAATGATTCTTTTTTTGTCACAGATGACCTACTTACCACCAATTTCCTAGTGTAGGCTTTTCATGTAAGGATAGTCTAACATATCTTTAGATGAATTAAAACGTCTTAGTTAAGACAGCTGGTTTTCACTGTATCTAAGTATGAATGAAGTTAATAGAAGGTAGTTTTCTTTACTGATGAGTGTAATGCTTGTCATATACCAATAACTGTACTTTTGTTGGATGTTCTGTAAGTTTTATTATACTAAAATATTTATTTAAGAAAAATTAACATGAGATACTATCTCAATTTTTTTCTACTTGAGCAACATAACCCAGGCCTGGATAGACCAGTCACCCTGAGCTATTTCCAAAAATCTGTGACTGTCAAATCTGTAGTAGTTTTCCTTACAGAAAATTTGCTTTGTTAATCAGCAGAACTCACAGTGCCACAAAAATGCTCAAATTTTATAGATGCAAAAGGAATCAATATTTTTGTCACTAATAATAAAGTGGTGGGAATAAAAAAAAAAAAGCTGCACTTGAAGTATTCAAGAGGAAGATCACAATGAGCAACTGAATAAAATCTGCTGTTTCTCTGGTAAAAAGCAAATGCTGTGAAGCTCAGTATCAGCTTTGCATTATAAAGCTTCAAGTTTCTTCAGCTTTGTCACACTGATGGATATCCTGAAAACTGAAGCTTCAGTGTTTTTGAACTTGATAGGTTGTGTTTGCTGTAGAGTCAACTTCAAAGAAAAGATATGGTTTGGAAGGAGTAGATCACAATGAGAGAGATTTAAAAATAAGCCAAATTAAACAGCACTATTTTAATCCTTTATTTTGGGGAAGACCTCTCAGTTTTTACTGATTAATCTCCAGGTTTAGCTAGCAGAGCAGAGGGGTTGCTGGCTATTCTCAGGTGGGAAAACTGTTAATGTGGGGTGAGATGGTAGGAGAAATTTGTCTTGTATTTTTCCAGTAGTTAAAGTTGTTTTGATTCTTATTACCTTGGTAATTTATACGGTGGTTGTGTCCTCCAGAAGAGAGCTTCAGGTTTTGCACATGCATGCAGACCTTCAGTATTGAATGAGAGGGTTCCAGTTGCCATTTCTGGCCTCCTACAGATTGTACTCAAATGAGAAGGGTTGGTTTGGGTTTTTTTTTGCCCTCTTTAAAATATTTTCAGTATTGGTTAGGTTAATATATATTTGTAAAAGGAATGAATAATTTTTGCTTGTAACTTACGCAAACCAAAATCAGTATAGGTCAGATTTGGAAGTGCTAGGTGAATGTAATTGTTAAAAATTGGAAATAGCAAAGGGTTGTCGTTTGGTGGATATAGAAGAGTTCTGACCTTTCTAGAGAGATCTTCAGAAGTTGCAGTGTTCTCAGACAATTCCAGCTGTCAGTAACTTAAAACACACACTGCTGTTCCTCCAAACATTTGTCGTCTTTTGCTATATATAATAAAGGTGATTCAGGCTGGAAAGGAATGGACTGAAGGGCCACAAGTCTAGTGCATGTGTTGTGGGATTTGGGGTTTCTGGGGGATAGTGGAGAGGAGTGTGTTGTTTTGTTGAGATATTTTGTATGCTTGGGAACAAGTGACTAAATGAGGAACTGTACAGGATGTTGTTTCACTAACTTTTCTTGGTGTTCACCAGGATTTGCCACATAGCTTTATTGCTTAGTGACACTGGAAACAATGAGCATGTGTGCTCCAGCTTTCTTTTGAAAACACAAGAGAAAAGGAGCTGCACCAACTGTGAGATAGTAATATTATAGAAATGTTACACATGACCCAGAAAGGCTTGGAAAAATCCACACCATTTTTGAGAGCTGTTAGTTTGCAGTAAGGAAAATGTCTTTGTTCTAGGTAACTTCTCTGCCCCCTTGGTACAGGGCGGCGCTGAACTCACATGCTAAAGCCATCCTCCTGTTTTCAGTATTTGCATAGAAGGATCTAAGGTAGAAAAATGCACTGAGAGAGCAGAACAAATCATTTTGATTTGTAAGAATTTGTTATTACAGTATGTACTGTAATCACAATACTTCTATTCAGCATGAATTTAAGGATCTTGGGAGTGGGGACTGCTTCTTTTGCTATATCTATTCAGAATGTGCCAAATTTTTCACACTATCTCAATCCACAAAATTGCCTTTCAAATCAGTGTTCAACATAATCTGTCCCATGTAAGTAATCATAGCATCTCTTTTGGAGGGACTATATCATGGAAGGAAGAAGTAGTCTTCACAGATTTGCGTTATATTTCTGCATTAGTGACCAACTGCAAACTTGACTGTTCTTTAATCAAATACTCTACTACTTGGTAAAAGTTTTATTGAGGACAAAAACTCAAAGAATTGTTTATATGTCCTGAGGGTATGCTTCACTTCTTTGAGAAATATATACCTTGTACAATGGTGTTTGAAATATTATCAGAGAGTGCCAGGTGTTTTTGTCCAAGTTTGTCAGTTGCATTACAGTTTTTTGATCTGGGAGTAAAAAAGGACTAGTTTGAAGACATTTCACCACATTACTCTTGTATTTCAGACATTGTGACTGAATGATGCCTTTCAGTTAAACGTTCAGGAATACTTCAGTTGCCCAGACACAAGCACATGAAATGCTGTAAATGTGTCTGCAGCACAGACTGTCAGAAGACTTATGCCCTTCTTCATCAAGCGAAGGCCAGATGTGGAAATACATTTAGACAACTGTATTTAGGCAATTGAATCACACCATGAATCCACGTTATTTTTTTTTTTTAGTTTTTCCCTGACTAAACTATTGAAGTGTTTTTTTTATGTAGGCTTGTTTTCTCTAATGGAAATGAAAGATGTTGTACTCTCAAAGGTTATTAATTGAGCAAATATCTTCATTTCTCTTTATACTAGATTTTGGATTAAAATTTTAAATGAAGGGTGCAATAGATGACTGTTAAAACACCATGAAAATTCTGAGGAGGGAAAAATATACTAAACAAGGAAAGCACTGACAGAAACTGAGTTGCTGTCCACCTTAGGGCCAAAGGAGACTTCAGTTCATGTAATACTATTTTTGTGAAATAAGCCTCCCCCAAAATAACTTATGGGAAAAATGACTTATTGAATCTGATGCTGTGTAAGTGTCCCATCATCTGCTATGCATGCTTATGTAATCTTCCTCCTCCTTTTTCTTCCAGAAACAAAAATTATGCTGGCCATGATCATAACCTTGAAGAACTGTGATCATTCCAAGTCATCACTGCTCAACTGAATACACCAAGCCTAGCAACGATGACCAGAATTTTAAGAATGAGTTGCCAATACCAAACTCAATTTTAACATCTTTGGCCTATAATCTCTTACAAGCTTTCTTGTTTATTTTTTTATAACCACTTCTTAACAAGCTTAGTTTTTTTAATGACACTGTAGAGGGTATGATCTTCTTTTTCACAAATATTTGCATTTCTGAAGCTGATTCTTGAATATGAAAGTGAACAAAAAAAGGGGTCTGGAAAGTACTGTTCACTGGAGCAGGTGGTAATTGTGCAGAAAAGGGGATCTTAACTAATTTAGATGTAGGTTTTTCCCAAATATTTCAATGAAATCTCTTTCTGAAGTAATTTACAGATTTTTTTCTTTTTTTTTTTTCCAGATTATTCAGGTAAATATATGGTCTCACTTAACAAAGTTTTTTTAAATAAAAATACAACCTTTACTAAAATTTGAAAATATATATTTCTTTGGATAAATTTTATACTGGTATCTCCTGTAACTCCTTCTGTTCTAAGATTCTCCTCTCTGTGGGGTAGAGATGGTATGGCAATCTGTAGAGGAGAAAGAGTTACGAAGAAATTTCCTTTGACTCAGCACTGTGTTCTCTTTGCACTTTGGTGCCAATGCTCAACTTCTTGTAGACATTTTGCTGTCTGCAACATTCCAGATAGGGAGAGAAAGAATATCAAAATATCTTCTTCCAACAAGAGATCTAGGCAGCTTAAAACCTTAGTGCTTTTTTTTCTTACTGTGTCCAAACTTCAACACTTCCATTATTTGAATACACGTGTAGAATGCTTGCTTTCTATTAAACCTCACTGCCTACATGTTAGAACTGACATTTGTTATTGAGAAAGTATGTGTTTCAGATACTTTGTCTAATGGTTAACACAGGTTTTTAAGGACACTGAGTAAAAGTATGAGGTGGATTCCATTCATAAAGTAATAAGAAGAACCATCTTTTGAGACTGTCATAGAGAAAACCTGTTAATTATTTTGGA